TTTAAGGGAAATTCCCTTATTCCGAATTCCTCACAAGAAAAGGGAACGTTGACAGCTATGGCAGAAGGGGTGCAGTGCCTGCTATGTATTCACGACCCTCAAAGCCACATTGCAATATGTAATGCTCTACAGCGGTACCTCGGGTTACATACCCTTCAGGTTACATACGCTTCAGGTTACAGACTCCGCTAACCCAAAAATAGTGCTTCAGGTTAAGAACTTTGCTTAAGGATGAGAACAGAAATCGTGCTCCGGTGGCGCGGCGGCAGCAGGAGGCCCCATTAGCTAAAGTGGTGCTTCAGGTTAAGAACAGTTTCAGGTTAAGTACGGACCTCTGGAACGAATTAAGTACTTAACCCGAGGTACCACAGTATAGGGTGCCTACATTCTGCATGGACTGGTTTGCATGGCATCATGTGCAAATGGCTTTAGATACCTATTAGGTCCATAAGTTACCATATAGCATATATTCAACACAAAAAACAGCAACAATATGTTGTTGACAAAGGCCAGCTGGACATATAAAGGGCCCCATTACCTTCACTAGCTTAGGGCCTCATCCAACCTCAATCCGGCCCTGAAGGCATCCTAACTTGACCTGGGAGTACACTCCTTGACCATGCAAGGTAATGCAGAGCCTGCGTCTATGGTTGAGCCGAGCCGGCTTGAGGGTTTGTTGACTTGGAAGGCCCTGGAGCCCCCAAACACAGCTCCGTCAAGCTGAGGCCCCATAATTTTTCTTCTAGTTTGGAGGCCTGACGAGAGGCATCAGGCAGAAAATGGCAGCTGCCTTCATTGGCTGCCTTGCCATCCTCCTACATAGTGACCTTTGGAGCTGCTGCTGGGAAACGCAAGCCCCACCCTCTTCTCCCGAAGTGGCACTTTGTGACATTTGTGCGGTTTGCAATATTAACCAGGTAGCCTCAGGAGGCCCCTGAGAGCCAGGCCGCAGCTTCTGAGCAGAGCTGGCCTCTCCCAGATGATGTCCAGTGAGAGGTTAATGGGGTGAGTTAACCTGGGTGAATGTACTTGTGCAGCCAGGCTAAGCTCTGTGCAAGTCCATAGGATTAGGCAATCCATTCACTTTATAAATGGGCATTAGCTCTGGGTCAATGAGAGAGAAAGATGCTGATGCGACAAGTCCTTGGTGATGGAGCTGCAGCACTTTTTACTGGGAGTACACCCATGGGATCATGGGCACAAATACTTCCCTCCCCATGCAGAGTCAGATGCTCATTGAATTCCCACGAACAGCATGAAACTCACTGTGAGATAATTAATTAATTTAATAATAATAATAATAATAATAATAATAATAATAATAATATTTATACCCCGCCCATCTGACTGGGCCTCCCCAGCCACTCTGGGCGGCTTCCAACAAAGCACTAAAATACAATAACCTATTCAACATTAAAAGCTTCCCTAAACAGGGCTGCCTTCAGATGTCTTCTAAAAGTTTGGTAGTTATTTTTCTCTTTGACATCTGGTGGGAGGGCGGGTGCCACTACCGAGAAGGCCCTCTGCCTGGTTCCCTGTAACTTGGCTTCTCGCAGTGAGGGAACTGCCAGAAGGCCCTTGGCGCTGGACCTCAGTGTCTGGGCAGAATGATGGAGGTGGAGACACTCCTTCAGGTATACTGGGCCGAGGCCATTTAGGGCTTTAAAGGTCAGCACCAACACTCTGAATTGTGCTCGGAAATGTACTGGGAGCCAGTGTAGGTCTTTCAAGACCGGTGTTATGTGGTCTCAGCAGCTGCTCCCAGTTACCAGTCTAGCTGCAGCATTCTGGATTAGTTGTAGTTTCCGGATCACCTTCAAAGGTAGCCCCAGGTACAGCGCATTGCAGTAGTCCAAGGGGGAGATAACTAGAGCATACACCACTCTGGCGAGACCGTCTGCGGGCAGGTAGGGTCTCAGCCTGCATACCAGGTTGAGCTAGTGAGAGCAGTGTATAACCAACCGGGCATCGTGGAGCATTATTTGTATTTATGTGTGCAGCTCCCCTAGTGCGTATGAAACCCTCTCTGTGTGTGGCTTGGGGGCATACACTCATTCTCACATTTTCCCTGCCTGTTAACAGGCCATTTGTACCAATGGACATAAATTGTGGCACAACAGCATAATTTGCCCCTATGTATCCTCACTTCCTGGATTCACATTTACCTTTCTGAACATTGCCTCTGTGTGTAAGCCCATGCGCATTAACAATCTCTCCCTCTCATTACAATCTCACACAGGGAGATCTTCCAAGAGGGCTGTGTGTCCCTTTGGAATAAGATCTTCCTGCTTCTTCCCGCTCTTACTACCGGTTATGTATTCAGTGGTCTGTGTTTGCCTGAGCTTGAGTCTGGACTAAGGATTCTGAGCTCCTGTGCTCTGATTCGATACATGATGTCCAGTCACAGAACATTTCAGGATTTGGGCCTCTGCCACTGGCCCTTGAACTCTGAGTTGTGATTCGCAGCTTGGAAGTTTAGACAGCCAATTATGTTAGGAGTGGGAGTGGCCCAGGCTTTCAGGAATGTATATAAGCAGTTGCTTTGCCCCTGTTTCCCAGTTATGTAGTTCAATAAAGGTTCTTGCTGTTATCACTTCACTACCTATAAACTTACACTTCACTACCCAAATCTAAGGCGGGCTGCCTTACTGTGCCTCAGGATAAGACTTGCACTGCGCATGTATGTCTAAACCATACGTTTTCCCACCCAAATGTCTCCCAAGAGAGAAGGATGTCAACAACAAGAAGAAATAGGCAATCCATTAAGGAGCTCTGTGGGTAAAGATATTATGCATAAAAACAAGCCTCTTTCAGTGTGTCGCAAATGATACAAGGTTAGATGCACATATTTTGTTCTTGGTTATTTGTACAGTCTTGAATATATGTACTCTTCACTTCTGAGCAGTGACAAGTTCCAGGGATAGTGCTACATGGTGTCCTTGTAGTGTTTGCTTTATTTATAAGCAAGCAGAGCAGAGCAATTTGGAAGGAAACAGCTCTCTCCCCACAGCTGGCAGCAGCTGACACATCCCAAACTCTAAACAGGCATCCCATTCCAAAGGCTGAAAAGGGATCCTCAACTATCAGGAGAACAGCTCCTATAATTAGCTCTGTTTGAAGATGCATCCAATAATTATCCTGGATAATTAGCCAGCTTTCTGCTGAACAACAGATTAGTCACCCAGCATCCATAACAGTATTATTAGGGGATACACCATAGTTCCCTGTTTATGTATCTAGGGATTTGGTCATCAGTAAGCACGCCAGTTTGGGGGACTCAGAGAATCATTCCCCCTTTTCCAGAACTTTCAGTCCTCCATTGTATCCCAAGTCTATGTATCATTACAAGAGTTATTTAAGACCTGCCCAAGAGTTCAAGTGTTTACAGTGGTCTGTCAAGTATAATTGTTATGTACTGAAGTTCTCACCCTGGGCCAGCAGGGGGATACTGTAGATAGTTATGCAAATGAAGGATCGAAAGTGACGTTCAGTGATTGGATAGTTTGTATGCAAATGAAGGATCGAAAGTGACGTTCAGTGATTGGATAGTTTTAGAAAATGGCAACAGTTACATTGTTAAAAAAAGGAAAACGTTGACAGCTATGGCTATATCTGTATTGTCTCTGTTATACCTAATTGCAAATTCAAATGCATCCCTATTGTGTTTTATGACTTCTTTGATATTGTATGTGGGCTGGAACTGGTCTGTGACCGAAATAATAAAATTCATTCATTCATTCATCTCGGGGGGGGGGGCAGACCATCTTAATGGATCTTCCACCCTAGAGGAGGAGATACAGCCACATCCAGGTGTCTCAGCAGGGATGGATCTGCCCATAGCAACAAACTCCCCGCAATCCCTGCTGCTAACAAGTCCTTCCTTTCCTGCTCTGTTGGCTTGCCTGCATCACCACTAAGCATAGTGTGGAATTCTGCATACAACAGCTTTCCATAAGCCACTGCAATGACCTGGAAAAGACACGGTTGTTGTGGCAGGCAGAAGGCTGATTTGCACGACAGTCAGTAAGTCAGTCAGTCAATCAATCAATCATCAATCAATCAATCAATCAATCAATCAATTATTGCCCTTCCTTCTTCCCTGACAGGGACTCAAGGCAGTTTACTAATAAAATAAGAATAATTGGCCATTCCTGCACTTTAATACTTTCTGTGGACTTGCCAGTTAAGTGCTGATGTGACTTGGCCCTGAGTACCTTTCAGAAGGGGACGTGGGTGGCGCGGTGGGTTAAACCACAGAGCCTAGGGCTTGCCAATCAGAAGGTTGGCGGTTCGAATCCCTGCGATGGGGTGAGCTCCCGTTGCTTGGTCCCTGCTCCTGCCCACCTAGCAGTTTGAAAGCACGCCAAAAAGTGCAAGTAGATAAATAGGTACCGCTCCAGCGGGAAGGTAAACGGTGTTTCTGTGCGCTGCTCTGGTTCGCCAGAAGCGGCTTAGTCATGCTGGCCACATGACCCGGAAGCTGCACGCCTGCTCCCTCAGGCAGTAAAGCGAGATGAGCGCCGCAACCCCAGAGTCGGCCACAACTGGACCTAATGGTCAGGGGTCCCTTTACCTTTCAGAAGATGCCACTTTAAAAAGAAAATAAAAGTAGTTTGAAACGTAAAACATCAGTGATATTTTTCAGCTCTCTTAGCTGAACTGTGCCAGGTTATTTGACTTTGCGAATGGCACTGTGGGCAGGTAAAAGGAAGAGACACAACCATGTGCCGAATGATGGAGCAAGCCGGAGAAGAGGTTTTGTGCCTGCAAACCTGCTTATCTTTGCCGTGCCTGGGCTTGCTGCTGAATGCCATGAATGCAGTGGCCAGATGTCAGGTGGGAGAAGGGGAGAGGGGTCTGCTTGTGTGCAGGGATCAGAGCAAGAAGGAATGCGAGACGGGAGCTGGGGGAGGGGAGGGGGAAGAAGAGGTGAGCGCTGGCATCCAACTGGCATCCAATGTCCTTTGGACACATCCCAAGAGGCTCTGTTTGTCTTTCAGAGGGAAAATGGCAGAGAGCTCCCTGTTTGCGCAGCGGCTGCAGGCCATTACTGTAAGTATTCTTCCTCCCTCCCCCCCCACTACCCCTGCCCCACTTGTGCAGAAATGGGGCTCAGGGTCCTCAGATGAGGTCCAGCCTCTGTTGCACACAGGAACTGGCCCCCATCCCCGTTCCAAAGCTGAGGGAGAGGGGGAGAGGTGGGTGGGAAGGCAGAGTGCCCAGATCTGTATGCCAGAACTAAGCGATTCTCATAATAATAGTGTAATGTAACTATTGGGTGGGGGAGATAGGGGCAACTGCACCAGGCACAACCTGGGCAGAAGGCACAGCTATCAACGTTTCCCTTTTTTAAGGGAAATTCCCTTATTCTGAATAGGATTCCTCGCAAGAAAAGGGAACGTTGACAGCTATGGCAGAAGGGGTGCAGTGCCTGCTATGTATTCACGACCCTCAAAGCCACATTGCAATATGCAATGCTCTACAGTGGTACCTCGGGTTACATACCCTTCAGGTTACAGACTCCGCTAACCCAGAAATAGTGCTTCAGGTTAAGAACTTTGCTTCAGGATGAGAACAGAAATCGGGCTCCAGCGGCACAGCGGCAGCAGGAGGCCCCATTAGCTAAAGTGGTGCTTCAGGTTAAGAAAAGTTTCAGGTTAAGTACGGACCTCCGGAACGAATTAAGTACTTAACCCAAGGTACCACTGTATTTATCAGTTTGGCATCATTAGGCATTTTTAAAAGGCTGACATGAATTGGCAGGGAGGCTTATTGCGGCAGCTAGGCCAGGCCCAGTGGTGCTTTGTGGGCTGCTCATTTGCCCTATAGCCTAACAATGGCTGTAGGTTGAAAGCACATGACTTCCCCCAAAGGATTCTGGGAACTGCTGTATAAGCCCTCAAAGAGCTACCATTCACAGCACCCTTAACAAACTACAGTACCCAGGATCCTTTGGGGAAGTCATGTGCTTTCAACATATGGTGTGGACACAGACACAGTCAAATGCATTCAGCTGTGGGGATGCCTCTGGTGGGAAGGAGGATGTTGGTGGCATGTGGCTGGCCAGCTATTGCTGAGGGGATGGCAGATTGTGGGATATATTTCTAAAAAAATTATTTCTGGCTTTACAGCTTCTCATGACTGGCGGTTAAGGTGCAAGCAGCAGGAGCTGTCTATCTTGAGCAGCCTATTTAAAGCACACACCACTAAGAATCCTGGGAACCGTAGTTTACCCCTCACAGAGCTATGATTCCCAGCATCCTTAACAAACTACAATTCCCAGGATTCTTTGGGGGTGCTTGGAATGTATGATGTGTGTGCGCACTATACCTTTAAAGCACATTTGAAGCACATTCTCTCCCCCCTCAAAGAATTATGAGTGTTGTGGTTGCTCAGGGCTGCTGGGAATTGTAGTTTGAGAGGGGCACACTATCGTGCTCGGGATTCCTTGAGGGAAAGAAGGTGCTTAGAATGTGCTTTGTGAAATATAATCGGAGTCAAGAGTGGATTTCATGCTCTTTATTCAGCTCGTAGTGGTGAGGAGGAATGGAAGTTCCCCCAGAATGTCTGCTTTATATACATTATTTACACAATGGGCCCCACGTGATTGGCTAATTCTGGGATTCTCCTGTAGGCCAATCAGGTCGTGGATTCACTCCACCTGGAGCTGGATTGGGTGGCTCCTGTGGGCCAATCAGACTGCTGCATTCTGGAGCCTATTGTTCTAGGACCAATCAGGCTGCTGCATTCTGAATCCTATTGTTCTAGGACCAATCAGACTGTTGCATTCTGAACCCTATTCAACTCAGTACATAACACTTTGAATGCATAATGTATACACAGTCTAGTCCCTGCTCTGTAATGTAAGGATAACAGCATTGCCCTCCCTGGGTTGATGTGAGGATTTGAGAGGATTCAGTTTTTAATCCCATTTAAAAAAACATTCCTGCACTGTTATGTACTGAGTTGAATAGGATCCAAACTGCAGCAGTCTGATTGGTCCTAGAACAATAGGATCCAAACTGCAGCAGTCTGATTGGTCCTAGAACAATAGGATTCAGAATGCAGCAGTCTGATTGGTCCTAGAACAATGCAGCAGTATGATTGGTTGGCAGGAACTACCCAATCATGCTCCAGATAGAAGTGAATCCACAACCTGATTGGCTTACAGTAGAATTCCGGAATTAGCCAATCATGTGCAGCCCATTGTGTAAATAATGTATATAAAGCAGATACTGTGAGGGGACTTTCATTCATTCCTCCTCACCACTATGAGCTGAATAAAGAGCATGAAATTACTATGCGACTCTGAGTATATTTCATGCACGCAGGCAGTTCCCCCATTCCACAGAGGCAACCATTTCAGACCCAGCAGCTGTTTACAAACCTATGAGCTGTATCAAATACTGCAATTCCGCTTTCACAACAGACATCTGTGCACACATTGAAACTTCCTAACCTGCTCCTGTTGCCTCAAGCCCCTTGGGCACCCTCAATATCAGCTCCCAGGGGCTGGGGGACCCCCTGGATCAGATTTTGGGGCATGTGGGAACATGGGCATAGCCAGGATTTTTGTTAGCGGGGCAGGTTTTTTGTTAGGGGGGCAGAACCTCAGTTTGCTATGTATTTTATTGATTGGGGGGCAGCTGCCCCTCCCTGCCCCCCCGGCTACTCCCATATGCAGGGAGAGGAAATTGAATGAGTGTAACTCTGCTTGGAATATGGTTGGCGCTGTGGGTTAAACCACAGAGCCTCTTGGGCTTGCCGTTTGGAAGGTCAGCGGTTCGAATCCCCGCAACGGGGTGAGCTCCTGTTGTTCGGTCCCAGCTCCTGCCAACCTAGCAGTTCAAAAGTACATCAAGTGCAAGTAGATAAATAGGTACCGCTCCGGCACTGCTCTGGTTTGCCAGAAGTGGCTTAGTCATGCTGGCCACATGAACCGGAAGCTGTACTCCGGCTCCCTTGGCCAATAAAGCGAGATGAGTGCCGCAACCCCCGAGTCGTCCGTGATTGGACCTAATGGTCAGGGGTCCCTTTACCCTTTACCTGTCTCTGCTTGCATGGTTCTGGATACAATCCCAAGTTTCCCTGCAGGAAAGGAAGCAGCCACAGACTGGACTCCATTTACTACTGAAAAGATGACTTGCAGGGATGAACTTTTGGGGAGTCTTTCTTCCAGTCTCACACGTGCGTTCTACTGGGAGAGGCTCTAGCGAAAAACAGCCCCTCTCAAAATACAGTTTTGTATGGCAACCCGGAAGAAAATAGCATGGCCAGAAATGTGCTGATTTGCCTGAACAGTGGCAGAATGCAAGGACTGTGGAGTAATGCGTCCACACATAGGGCAGAGAACGTTGGTTTGAAGTTCTTTCAGAAGAAAGCCATGCATTTTGAAGAAGACTTCTGCTTTAAGTCCAAATTAAAGATAAGGAACCATAAGAAGGGAGATTAGGAGCCTTGAAGTTGTCCATAATAACAGTGAGCAGCAGCCTGAGCGAGCCCTCGGGTCACCTGGCAACAGTCGGAGAGATATGAGAGATATATTGTATTTCTATTTAAATGGCAGCAGTTGCTTCTGAATTTGCATTGCACATGCAAATTTCATGCAAACTTGTTTCTTGATGACACACAAGTGGCAAACCTGGTGTGTGCATATCTCTTCTGCCCAGTGACGTGGCTTTTGGAAGTGGCTAGGTCCAGTATACCTGAAGGAGCGTCTCCACCCCCATCGTTCTACCCGGACACTGAGGTCCAGCACCGAGGGCCTTCTGGCGGTTCCCTCACTGCGAGAAGCCAAGTTACAGGGAACCAGGCAGAGGGCCTTCTCGGTAGTGGCACCCGCCCTGTGGAACGCCCTCCCACCAGATGTCAAAGAGAACAACAACTACCAGACTTTTAGAAGACATCTGAAGGCAGCCCTCTTTAGGGAAGCTTTTAATGTTTAATAGGTTATTGTATTTTAGTGTTCTGTTGGAAGCCGCCCAGAGTGGCTGGGGAAACCCAGCCAGATGGGCGGGGTATATATAATAAATTATTATTATTATTATTATTATTATTATTATTATTATTATTATTATTTCAGCCCTTGAATATATTCCCAGCGTTTTTGGATTTGGGCTAAATCTGGGCTGCTTCCCCTCCTCCGTGGGAAACACTGTGCAGGCCTGGTGTAACCTGAGCTGCCATTCCTTTGCTCATCCTGCCTTTGAAACAAATGAATTATTCACCAGGCAATAGCTCCAACCTGAACCAAACAGGAGGAGAGGGATCTGGAGGGCTGCCCAGGCTGGAAGAAACAGGGCCCGGTCTGGGGTTGATGCCTGTGATGCAGCCCGGCTGCCCTTGTGTTCAGCCCCACGCACACATCCAGATGGGAGATGTTGTCATGAATGGTGCATGCCAGGAAGCGTAGTACAGTAAACATTTATTGTTGCGAGAAGTGTTTCGGCAGCTGAGAGATGTTTCTGTGCAGGGAGAGAATCGGGGCAAAGGGAGATGGAGCTACAAACAGCAGTGAGGAGCCTTCAGTACGTGAATACTGGCAGACGCACCCATGACCTTATGCACGCCACAGGGTGTTTTGAGCGCATGCAACACATGCTGGCTTGGTAAACACATTGTCACCTCCGTGTAGGCACACACCCAAACACTGCATCAACATTTGTACCTTTGTACTTGGTGATAGGGTCTAAACCACTGAGCCTATTGGGCTTGCCGATCAGAAGATCGGCGGTTCGAATCCCCACGACGGGGTTAGGTCCCGTTGCTCTGTCCCAGCTCCTGCCAACCTAGCAGTTCGAAAGCACATCAAAGTGCAAGCAGATAAATACGCTCTGGCGGGAAGGTAAACAGCATTTTCGTGCGCTGCTCTGGTTCGCCAGAAGCAGCTTAGTCAAGCTGGCCACATGACCCAAAAAACTTTCTGCAGACAAACGCCAGCTCCCTTGGCCTGTAAAGTGAGATGAGCGCCTCAATCCCAGAGTCGTCTGCGACTGGACTTAACTGTCAGGGGTCCTTTACTTTTACCTTTACCTTTTACTTGGTAACAATTCATTTGATGTTATGTCCTCTCTTTTAATTTCATATGCCCAGTCACCAAGGAAGATTAGAGCCCTGATTTCATTCATAATTCCTGTTAGTCTCCTAAGGGTTGTTTATGCGTATGGAAGTCTGTTGGCACATACAGATGGTTGTGTGGCATAAACATGTTGATTTTAAATGTCAACACAATAGACTGTAAACTCCAGATTCCGCTGGGTACACCCAGGTTGTATAGACATGGTTGTGTTTGTCTCCAGTGTTCTAATTGAATTATTTGAGATCATTGCAGTCTGGTGCCAAAAAGTAACTATTTTTAAAAATATATTTAGATCTACACAGTGTGGATCTTTCATTAACACAGTTAAATCAGTCTGATAATAGCAGCATTATTTGAACCAACGTAGTGCAACCTTCCCCAGCCTAGTGCCTTCCTGATGTTTCTGACTAGTACTTACATCAGCTGAAAGGTACAAAACATCAGGAAGACTCATGTAAACAAACCGCCCATATGTAACTCCAGTGCAAATAGCATTTTGATTTATTTTTTTGTATATTAATTCAAAAGCATTAATGATGAACACTTCTAATGATTTCCCTAAACTCTGAAAAACCACGCTGTTAAAAGAAAATGACTGAGAGGTAAAACCAGTCTCTCCAAGAGGATTAGCCTCCTTTGATTGATTGTGGCACACACACTTTCATGGATCGCAGCCCAAAGACGTGGTCTGTGTACCAGTCGTCCTCACAAGGATATGCCACCGCCTTTTAGGTGCCACGAGGCTACAGAGAGCCCAGCCAAAAGGGGAGGGTGGCAGTAAAGTCTCCCTCTCGCAGCATGGAACCCCCCCCGGGTCTCTCTCTCTCTCTCTCTCCAGGCCCAGACAGGGGGGGGGCCATATGGGCCACTTGGCCCGGGCCTCCGATTCCAAAGGGGGGCTCGGTCAGCATTTTAAAAAGCACTGTTGTATACAGTGGTACCTCGGGTTACATACGCTTCAGGTTACAGACTCCGCTAACCCAGAAATAGTCCAAGAGTCCCCTTTGTGGTGACTCCAACTTCAGGCAGGTGTCAGGCAGGTGAACCAAAGGCTGACCCGTCAAGAGGCTTATTGCCTTACGCTGTTAGCCCAGAAATGGAAGCAAGAAGAAATTCCAACGAAAGAAGAATGGCAGATGAAATTAATGGACTACAGTGGTACCTCGGGTTACAGACGCTTCAGGTTACAGACTCCGCTAACCCAGAAATAGTACCTCGGGTTAAGAACTTTGCTTCAGGATGAGAACAGAAATCGTGCTCCGGCGGCGCGGCGGCAGCAGCAGGAAGCCCCATTAGCTAAAGTGGTGCTTCAGGGTAAGAACAGTTTCAGGTTAAGAAGGGACCTCTGGAACGAATTAAGTACTTAACCCGAGGTACCACTGTATCTATATTTTCCATTTTGTCTTTATATGCAGATACAGTTCAATCCTTGAAACAAAATTATTTGTCAGCATAACTTTTGTGAAAATTATTTACATACTTACTTATTTATAAGACTTCAGTTATCCCCAGGGTAAAAAAAAGGGGGGGCACATTATCTACCTGGCCCGGCCTGGCTCTGCAAGACCCTGAACATCCCGGTAGGGTTAAGGGGGCAGGCCCTTTGCAGACAGGGCAGTCTCTCCCCCCACCTCAACCCGCACCCCCCCCAGCTCTTCCAGCCTTTAAAAGGGGGAGGCGCTGGCACAGTTGCAAGGTGGCCTCTGGTTTGGCATAGATGGGTTTTTCCTTAACCGGTGGCGAGAGGGAGACAGAGAGATAGAGAGCAGCGCAGGGCGAGACACAAAGGGGTGGCGGCGGGGGTGGGTCTCTTCCCTGCTGCTCCTCTTGCACCCAGGTGATGCTGCTGCTCAAGGCCGAGGAGGGGCGGCTCTGCTGGGCTTAAGTCCTCGGCGCGGTCGGGCAGGCAGGCACGCCGCTTCGCCTGTCTGCCGCCCACGTGGGCTCGCTCGCGCCCTGCCTCCCACCGGCGGCGGCGGCGGGCCCTTTGTCCGCCCCTCTCTCTCTGCAGGGCGGCTCCTGCCTCGCCTCGCCTCCCACCCCTTCGGTCCCCTTTTTGCTTTGCTGCAGGAGCGGCGCAGGCTGCAGGAGCGTATCCTGGCCACCCGCCGGGAGCTGGAGGAGGAGAGACTGCGAGCCCAGCGCCTCAAGGTAACGCCCAGGAGAGGGATGCAGGAATGGATGGACCAGAGGGATGGAGGTTGGGATGCTGGAGTGGGGGGGATGAAGGAGGTGAAATGATGGCGGGGTGGGGGGTGCGGTACCACTGTGGGAGGGACCAGGGGAGGAGGGGGCATGTCAGACCCCAAGATTAAGGTGGTTGGGGGCCCTGTTGTAGTTCCCAAAAAAGACCCCCCCCAAAAAAATAGAGCCTGAAATAAGATACTACCAAAAAAAAAAAAAGTATTGGAGTGTATAAACTAACCACATGCTTTTGTGGACTTTTCCCCCCCTTGGTCCACCTTGATAAACAAATAGAAAATACTCTGTGCATGTTCATTTAACTCCCCATTGCTTTTGCTCACTTCCTTGGCCCAGTTACCAACTCTCAACCTAACCTACCTCACATGGCTGTTGTGAAGATATAGGAGGAGGTATAAAATGGCTGCAAAATGGAACTTAGTGCTTGTATCACAGGCATCAAATGTTGCTTCCTTTAACCCCACTAATGCATCTTTGTTCTATAAAGGATCATATTTTTTCTGCACACCTCCCAGAAAAAAAATAATTAGGACAGCTCCAAGGCTTCAACCAATCGTAATCTGGCCTGAGAATTGCATGTTTTAGTCCCAGCAAAAAACAGCAACAACCTTGCTTCACTTACCAATGTTCTGCACTAGAAATAAACATGTCTAATCAAATTTATAGCCCACATTTAGCAACGAGCTTCACTGGGCATTCTGACACAGTCACAGGGATATGAGCCATGGGTTTGCTTGCAAGTTTTTCCTGTTTTGGCCTGTGTTTTCACAACCTTGTGTGAAAAAGGTGTGCAAGTGGCCAAGAGGACCACCTATGTGCAAGATGCTCGTGCCCCTAGAAGCTGAAAGGTGTGGGAGTCAAGTTCTGGCTGTGTGGCCCTTTGTGTGCAAATGCTTGCATGATGTGTGGTGGTTGTGGAGAGAGAGAGAGAAAAACGGTGAGGATTGTGGCTGGAGTACATTTGAACATCTGCACTAGTGGGTGTGTTCAACATCTGCTGTCAACGCCATGTAGCTTCATTATTTATTTATTTTAAAGTATTTCTGAACCGACCTCCATCCTTTACCGGTACCAGGATAGTGTATAAAGAGCATGACCGACAATCCTAGCAAATACAACAATACAATTTTTTAAATAAAAAAAATCACCACTAAAATACATTTCCAAACAATAAAAGCAGTTGACAGAGCCGGCACTAAATATGCTGAAAATATCTGGGCATGTAGCCTGGCGTGAAAAGATTGTACTGTCGGTGCTTCGTGTGTGACTGCTTGCCCATATAGACCTATATGTGCATGTGGTTGAACAAAGATGCAATTCTGGGTATGCGCAGGAATGATCTCATGTGTGCCTGTGCATATATGCATGACTGTAAGCCCATTGTCTTGTCTTGATGTGTCCCGACAGCCCACGTGAGTGTCCAGTGCAGGATTGCTGACAAATGCATTCTCTGTCTTACTTCTCAGAGGAAATCCCTGCGCGATCGTTGGCTGATGGAGGGAACATCCTCACCCACAGACGACAATGACCACTTGTCTTCTGTCTGGGAGGCACAGAATCGCATTCAGGAATTAGAGCAAGATCTGTCCAGGTGGGTGTGTCTTAGGTGATGGCGGGGCAGTGGTGGAGGAGCAGCACTGACAATAACACACCCAAAGGGGTTTCATGGCTTTACCCAGGACAGAGGAGCAGCCACCTCAGTCCCCCCCTTCTCTTGCCCCTCCCTGTGTCAAATTTTAGATTGTAAGGCCCTCGGGGCAGAGACCTGTCCTCTTCACTCTCTACAAAGCATCTCACATTCTGTTTTTATTTATAAAAGTATTTATATGCCCCCCCCTCGTGAAACATTAGGCTGGTGTACAACAGGAACATTTAAAATGAGACAAAGCAATCATAAAAATGACTGGCTACTCAAAGAACGTTTTGGGCAACTACTCAGGCTTGTCTGCATTTAAATATATATATATATATATATGTTTTGGTGTCCTCGGGTGTCTTCCCGTGTAAAAGTTGGGGTGTCTAGGCGACGTTTCGACGAGGTCTCACTCGTCATCTTCAGGCTGGTGCTTTCGGCTTCTTGTTACTGGAACAGAGAAGCCGAAACAAGCCGAACAAGAAGCCGAAAGCACCAGCCTGAAGATGACGAGTGAGACCTCGTCGAAACGTCGCCTAGACACCCCAACTTTTACACGGGAAGACACCCGAGGACACCAAAACCTGCATTCCTGTACCCGTGAAAATCTACGAAAGCATATATATATATATATATATATATATATATATATATATATTCAAGAGATACCTGAAAGTTAAAAAAAAATGAGGATGCTTTCTGAATCTCTGCTGGAAGAGGCAACGTGGGGCTAGCAACACTTAAATGCCCATCTAGTGGAAGCCAGTCAGGCCGCTGGTGGCAATATATACATAAATAGCAACTACAGCCACAATAATGTGCTGTTCCGGCTGAAGCTGCAGATGGAAGCTGATGATGACATCGAGGTCTCTGGAGGACGTGAAGGAGGGATGTTTTGTGGGCACTTTGTGTCCCCCTCATGCCTCTGCATCTTCTTCTTTCCGGAAGAGAAGATGCCTGGGACTAAAAACAACAGCAACCAACACTCAGGACAGAGAAGCCTGAAACCACTTCCTGGCCTGAGGGAGCTGGAGGGAAGGATGCTCAACGGAGTGATTAGTCAGCAAGGCTCCTGAGGATTAAATCACCCTCCAGCAGCAGCAGGAGGAGGAGGAGGAGGGGGAGGAGGAGGGCAGGATCCCCCAGGCAGTGCAAAAGTGATAACTCAGCAACAGGGGTGGAGAGCCTCCAGCAGCCTGGCTGTAAATGTGGGGGTGGGGGTCTTTTCATACCCAGGCGCACAAGCAAGAAGCCAGGATTTGTCTAACCAAAGGATGTCAGAATACAGTACTTGCTCATGAAGGATAGCGCTAAGGTTCAGCTCATAAGGTTACTTAATTCCGAAGGACAGGAGAGCAAATTGTTCCCAGAATAGTGACTGGTGAGTTTAGAATGGGGCTGAAGATCTCCGGCTTAAAACCCCACTCAAAACAATGAAATACATCTGTTGTTCTTGTTGATGTTGTGATTTCTGTCCTGCTGGGTAGCCTAAGGTCCTTCAAAATCAGATTGCAAAGGGGGAAAGGCAATACGATAAAAACACAACACAGTAATAAATCAACACCAAATCAATAAAGCACAAGTTATTTCAAGCCAGTCCATAGCACTCTTAGTAGCATGCAGATGCATCTAAAAAGCCAGGTCTTAGCCAGCTGGCTAAAGATCAGACAAGAGCAAGCCGGGCAGGTTTCCAGAATGAGGAGGCAACCACCGAGTAGGTCCTGTCTGTCACAGCTACATGCTATGCTTCCTTTTGCCAAACTTCCTCAGAAGGTTTTTAAATTACGGGGGAAGAGGACAATCTTGAAGGTAGATGTGATATGCTTTCTATGGCCAGTTCCAGTCTACCATCGGACTGCTGTATTTTAGATTTGCAGATTCCAAAAGCATGTCAGAAGGAGGCCCCACTCATCTAGATGTTACCAAGGCATGTGTTGTGATAATCAAGCACATCAATTTCCTGTGAACAGAGTCCTGGTTCGCACATCTCTGTGTTGCAATAATCATGTGGATCAGGGCTGCGGAATTTGTGGCCTTCCAGATGTTGTTGAACTCTCAACTCTCTTCAGCCCCAGCCAGCAGGACCAGTAATGAGGGGTAATGGGAATTGTCGTCCAGCTCTCAACGCAGAGCCACATGTTCACCAGCCCTGATGTAGAGATTTGGTCATGGCCACCATTGTTCCCTGTGATTGCTTGCCAATGACATGAACTGTTGTCCTTTAATAGCTGTTCCTCTCTTTTTGAAGCCTCCAAACTCAGATGCAGCAGCTGGATAATCCAGAACTTCACCAGGGACTGGCACAGCCAGAAGAGCCTGTGAAGGCTTTGAAGGAGGTGAAGGCATTGGATGGCATTGGGAAGGTATGAGTAGTTCCTGATCTCCTGTGTTGTGGCAAATGCAAAACTGCCTATCAAGCACAGAATCTGACATTTTGAGAATTTCAGCATACATTTTTTTAAAACCAAGCTTCTGGCCCTTATCATTGTAGGGAACAGCTTAAATGTGTGGAAATCACCTAATTTGCATGGTACGTTCAGCCAGACCATGGCTCGGTAGGAATGTGCAAGCATGTGGGGTCCAAGAGAGGGGATTGGGGCCACTTTTACTACTCTTTAGTCATTTTGCTGCTGCTTGAGCTAAGCACTGAGCTAAGCATGGTTTGGCTTTGCATGTTGTCTCAAGCCAGGCTCAAGGCTTAGCACTCTCCAGACTAATCATGTAACCAAAGTTTGTCCCATGATTTATGGCTTGTGGTTTGTCTGGGAGAGCTAAGCCACAAGACCAGACCTGGGTGATAAGCTACGCCAAAACTAAGGCTTAGCTCAGCGTAGCAGCAGGAGATTCAGGGAAGCAAAAAAGAGACCCCAATCTCCTCTGCAGTCGCCCACATATGCATAGTTTGGCTCAGCAAACGAGCCAACAACAAATGAAATTTCAAAAGCCGGGTCTTCATTTATTCAGGCAACAGGACCTAATGATCAATGCTTTGTGCCCTGTTTTGTAATTCTTGAATGTTCGCTCCTGCAGCCTATCTGCCTCCAGTGTCCATATTCTCTCCCTTTCTATCAACATTTTCCAAGCTCTTTTAGAATTTGGATCTTGGAAACAGAGTATTTTGTGTTAGAGTTGCAAAAGCACCTCTGATCCATCATTCAGTAGACATCTTTAGGCACCATGTGAAAATGTTCATCTTCAACCAAGTCTTCTGCTGATTTACATTCTATGTCTTTTTAAATGTGCTGGGGGGGGTTATTGTTTTGTTTTGTTCTTGTTTTTATTGTGTATTTTGCGTTTTTATGCTGTGAACCTCCCTGGGATCTTGGGATGAAGGGCGGTGCAGTCGTACCTTGGAAGTTGAACGGAATCTGTTCTGGAAGTCTATTTGATTTCCAAAATGTTCGGAAACCAAAGCGCGGCATCTGATTGGCTGCAGAAGCCCCGCCGGACATTCGGCTTCCAAAAATAGTTCACTAACCGTAACAGTCACTTCCGGGTTTGCGGCGTTTGAGAGCCAAAACTTTCAAGAACTAAGATGTTCAAAAACCAAGATACAACTTTCTACACATTTAATAAATAAAAGGTTGTAAATGTTTCACTTTAGATAGAGTTCAAAATTGTGGGTTCATTATCTAGTGAGAAACTGAATTTTCCATCTAGAGATGAGGTGTCCTGGTGATATTATTGGGTTAAAAAAAACAAAACCACAATACCATGTGGTGTTATTTTGAAATGTAATTTGGCCCCTTCCAAGTCCAGGTGAATGATATGCAAATTGGATTGACTTGATGATGCTCTGAAGTCTGCCAAGCAGCCACAACCTTCTGACTTTGGATGCAATCTGGAAGAGATGAGGAAGGGAAGGAAGGAAGGAAGGAAGGAAGGAAGGGAGAGAGAGAGAGAAAGAAAGAGAGAAAGAGAGAGAGAAAGAAAGAAAGAAAGAAAGAAAGAAAGAAAGAAAGAAAGAAAGAAAGAAAGAAAGAAAGAAAGAAAATCAGTCACTGGAGCTTACTTTAGGTCAACCTACTCCCGTTGCTCAAGGGACGCGGGTGGCGCTGTGGGTAAAACCTCAGCGCCTAGGACTTGCCGATCGTCAGGTCGGCGGTTCGAATCCCCGCGGCGGGGTGCGCTCCCATTGCTCGGTCCCAGCGCCTGCCAACCTAGCAGTTCGAAAGCATCCCCGGGTGCAAGTAGATAAATAGGGACCGCTTACTAGCGGGAAGGTAAACGGCGTTTCTGTGTGCTGCGCTGGCTCGCCAGATGCAGCTTGTCACCCTGGCCACGTGACCCGGAAGTGTCTCCGGACAGCGCTGGCCCCCGGCCTCTTAAGTGAGATGGGCGCACAACCCTAGAGTCGGACACGACTGGCCCGTACGGGCAGGGGTACCTTTACCTTTTTACTCCCGTTGCTCAGTCCCTGCTCCTGCCAACCTAGCAGTTCGAAAGCACGTCAAAGTGCAAGTAGATAAATGGGTACCGCTCTGGTGGGAAGGTAAACGGCATTTCTGTGCGCTGTTCTGGTTCGCCAGAAGCGGCTTAGTCATGCTGGCCACATGACCCGGAAGCTGTACGCCGGCTCCCTCGGCCAGTAAAGCAAGATGAGCACTGCAACTCCAGAGTCGTCCACGACTGGACCTAATGGTCAGGGGTCCCTTGTGGCATCAGAAAGGCCACAGCAGGTTTCCCACTCCTGATTGAGTGCAAATGTCTCCAGAAGACTCCAGCAACTGAGCCACAATACACATTTTAGAGGAAAGCAAAACATTCTTTCCATTCTGAACCCCCGATGTGGATCTCAATCAGACCCTGTGATAATGTGTCTGCACCAATATGCAATATTCTTTCTTTCAGCTTCCTCTGGTTTATTGTTGATATACAGTGGTACCTTGGGTTACAGACGCTTCAGGTTACATACGCTTCAGGTTACAGACTCCGCTAACCCAGAAATAGTGCTTCAGGTTAAGAACTTTGCTTCAGGATGAGAACAGAAATCGTGCTCTGGCAGCGCGGTGGCAGCAGGAGGCACCATTAGCTAAAGCGGTGCTTCAGGTTAAGAACAATGTCAGGTTAAGAACGGACCTCTGGAACGAATTAAGTACTTAACCCGAGGTACCACTGTATGCCTGTTTCTCACACAGATGAGCCACCTCCTGTTGAATTGTGCTCATACACCCACACACAAGCCAGGCCACATGAGGTGTGCAGAAAGAAGAGGGGAGGGATATCTCTGTGGGAGTGGAAACACTCCTCCCCAAAAAAATAAGTTAGTGGGACGGGGTGGTGATCAAGGCAGTGAATTGGTGGATATTATTAAAAAATTAAGTCAATTAAATTTCTCTCCCACCCCTCCTCCCCAAGGAGGCCTGGGTGCCATCGTTTTTGTCATCTTACATTACAGCGTGAAAGCAGACATTGCATGTTATTTATTATTTAGTTCAACAGTATGAAAATGCTTAATCACCACATCTCTAAGCGGAGTGCTAGAGACCCAATACAATAGGCCTGTCAATAAACTGACACTATAAAATCCCAATTCAGTTAAATAACCTACTGGGATTTTTTTAAAAGTATGCAGTAAGTGCCAGAAGGTCAACAATGGGAGTGGGGTGGGGGCTTTTTGACCTCAGCTGAAAAGGAGTTTTACAGAATCTACCTTGAAGTAAGTTCCATGGAGTTCAGTGGAATCTACTTCCAGGTAATGGTATGCAGTTGCAGCCATAAAGAAGCATGTGCTTAAAATGCTCGTTTGTACTTCTTCTTTTTTTAATATAAATTTTTAAAAATCATTTTTATTAATTTTCCAATAAAAAACATCCAATTAATATATCCAATCATAATCCAATTAAAATAAAAAACTAAAATTTAAAAAAGACCAAATTATAATCATAATTATTGATTTTTCGGGACTCCCCATAGTCTGGACCTCTGAAGCATATCTCCAAATCTCAGTCCTGCCTCTCCTTGTTGTTTCCATATTTTCCACATCCTTATTTTAACGCTTAAATTTAATAGAAATATTTTTAAAGCAGAAAATTCTTCCAGGGATTGGGGGAAGAGATGCCTTGGTGATGTCACGGGTACTGGCCAATAAGCATTGTGCAAACACTGTATTCTGTCTTAGTCATTGCTTTAACCTGGGAAAGGGCCTTAGCTCAGTGGTAAAACACAATGTTTGTGTGGAAAAGGTCTCAGTTTCACTTCCTGGCATCTTCAGGCAGGGCTGGGAAAGAAGACTCCTGTCTGAAGCCTTGGAGAGAGGCTGCTAGTCACTTTGGAGTTTGGCAATACTAAGCAGGGCCAATGGTCTGACTCAGTGTGGTGTAGTGGTTCAGAGCGATAGACTCGTAATCTGGTGAACCGAGTTCGCGTCTCCGGTCCTCCACATGCAGCTGCTGGGTGACCTTGGACCAATCACACTTCTCTGAAGTCTCTCAGCCCCACTCACCTCACAGAGTGTTTGTTGTGGGGGAGAAAGGGAAAGGAGAATGTTAGCTGCTTTGAGACTCCTTCGGGTAGTGATAAAGCGGGATATCAAATCCAAACTCTTCTTCTTCTTCTCAGTACAGTGGTCCCTCGGTTTAAGAACAGCCCTGTTTACGAACTATTCGGTTTACGAATTCCACAAAACCGGAAATAGTGTCCTGGTTTGCGAGCTTTACCTCGGTCTAAGAATGGAAGCCAAATGGTGGAAGGGCACCAGCAGCGGGAGGCCTCATTAGGGAAAGTGTGTCTCGGTTTAATAATGGTTTCGGTTTAAGAACGGACTTCTGGAAAGGATTAAGTTTGTAAACTGAGGTACCACTGTATAAAGCAGATTCCTGTGTTCATACTTTGCAGGATTTTTGTGCAGATAAAATGAGAGAGATCCTTATGGAGGCTCTTCTGAGCTCTTTGGAGGAAAGACAAAGAATCAATATGTTGAATAAATAAGAATTTGAGAATGAGCAAAAGCCACCTCAATTTTATTTTTAAAAAGATGTTTACAGTGGTACCTCGGGTTACATACGCTTCAGGTTACATACGCTTCAGGTTACAGACTCCGCTAACCCAGAAATAGTACCTCGGGTAAAGAACTTTGCTTCAGGATAAGAACAGAAATCATGCTCTGGCAGCGTGGCGGCAGCGGGAGGCCCTATTAGCTAAAGTGGTGCCTCAGGTTAAGAACAGTTTCAGGTTAAGAACAGACTTCCAGAACGAATTAAGTACTTAACCTGAGGTACCACTGTACTAGTGATCTCTTTGGAGATTGTTGCCATGAAGTTCCTTTCTTTTGCTTTCAGGTTGATGGGACCTCTTCCTCTCCTCCAGAAGGTGAGTCATTCTCTATTTGCTGGCATACCTCTATCATAGTGGGTGCAATTTGCCTGGCAGTTCTTCTGCACAAGCTTCATTGGAATGAATGGGAATCTCACAACTGTCAGTTGCAATTTTCTGAACTATGCAGGTCAACTGGTTCAGTCCCATCCAGGACCTATGAAATCACATCCCACTGTGCTTTAAGCCAGTGTTTCCCAACCTTTTTTGGGCAAAGGCACACTTGTTTGATGAAAAAAATCTTGAGGCACACCACCATTACAGCCCCGTGACGTCAGCGCGCAGCGTCACGCCGGGAGGGAAGGGCGCCGGGGCGCTGCTGCTGCCGCCGCCGCTCCCGGCAGGCATGGGCCCAGCTGAGGCGGCGGCGGCTGTTGTGGTGGTGGCGGCGATAGCGGGCGGAGGAGGGGGCGGCGGCGGGTGGAGCAGGAGGGCGGCCGAGGCCGGTGAGGGAGTAGGGTTGCCCGGGGCTTGAGGAGCCGTCGCCGGGAGTTGCTGCTGCTGTTGTTGCTGCTGCTGCCCGGACATGCCGGCCTCCTCCTCGTCCGCTGTCTCGCGCTCCTCCCTTTTGCGCGCGCTGCCCCGCCGCCGCCCCATTGGCCGGGTCCTGTCAGCTGATCCTGTGTTATTTCCTGTGTGTGTGTGTGAGGGGGAGAATGGAGAGAGAAACCTCGGCACCACCACCGCGGAGCCGCCCCCGGCTCGACGCGGATCCTCGCCGCCGCCGCCCCGCCTCTCGCCGCCCAACTCGCCCGCCTCCCTCCCACGGCACACCAGGCAACGTCTTGCGTCACACTAGTGTGCCGCGGAACACCGGTTGGGAAACACTGCTTTAAGCAACAGCTTTCCACTTCCTCCTCTCTTGTTTTCTGCAGCCCAGTTGGCGGATATAATAAGACAGAAGGTGGGCCCCCTATTCCCCAAGCGTATTCTGCGATTTACTTTCCCAGATGTGTGTTGAAAGATCCACACCTGCCGGACTGAAATCTGATCTCCAGCCAGCTATTTGTGTGAAAAGGGCAGGCTCAGAGGACAGAGTAACTTGGAATGAACACAGTCATGATCCATGTCTGTGTGTATTGTTTCTTTATCTATTCTAGATTGTTGGTACAGCCTTGTAGGGCATTCAGATAAAGAAACAGCCCTGGGACGTGTTCCAGCCTGTTCCAAGCTTAGGTTTCTTCTTTGCCTTCTGTAACCTCAAGTTTGGAAGCCTTGTCATTTAGGCAACCTCTAGCCCACCTTTAAAAGGGACGCGGGTGGCCCTGTGGGTTAAACCAGAGCCTAGGACTTGCCGATCAGAAGGTCAGCAGTTCAAATCCCCACGACGGGGCGAGCTCCCGTTGTTCGGTCCCTGTTCCTGCCAACCTAGCAGTTCGAAAGCACGTCAAAGTGCAAGTAGATAAATAGGTACCGCTCCGGCGGGAAGGTAAACGGCGTTTCCGTGCGCTGCTCTGGTTCGCCAGAAGCGGCTTAGTCATGCTGGGCACATGACCCGGAAGCTGTACGCCGGCTCCCTCGGCCAATAAAGCGAGATGAGCGCCGCAACGCCAGAGTCGGTCACGACTGGACCTAATGGTCAGGGGTCCCTTTAGCTTTACCTTTACATAGCCCAATGCTCTGATCATTAAGCTAAAAGGTAAAAGGTAAAGGACTCCTGGATAGCATGACTAAGCCACTTCTGGTGAACCAGAGCAGCGCACAGAAACGCCGTTTACCTTCCCGCCAGAGCGGTACCTATTTATCTACTTGCACTTTGATGTGCTTTCGAACTGCTAGGTTGGCAGGAGCTGGGACAGAGCAATGGGAGCTCACCCCATTGCAGGGATTTGAACCGCCGACCTTCTGATTGGCAAGCCCTAGGCTCTGTGGTTTAACCCACAGTGCCACCTGCGTCCCTTAATACATATATTTATAGTATAATATTAATAGAAAACACCTGTTACCTCTGCCCCCATTATCTACAAGGGTCCAGGCTGAACTGCCAAGACAGAGAAATACCTTTCCCCCTTGACCTGCCACCAGGTGCTGCTGTCTCCTACCCCCACCAGGCTTTGCCTTCTGACCTATGACTCACAAGCTTCTCACACCCCTCTCAGAGGACCTGATAACTTCATCTGAATGTGACCATGAATTCCTTGCAGAGAGAAGTGGCCCTGAGTCCAGGCTCGAGTTGGCTCCTGTTCCACCCAAGAGGTCTCTGCAAGCAACAGCCCAAGAGAAGCTGCAGAATGGAGATATGCCAGGAGGAGGTGGGTGCTGGAGACTGGCAAGGCCTGCCCTTGAGTAAGCTGGAGAGGGAGCTTTCTTTTAGCCTGAGGGCCACCTTCCGTCCTGCGCAACCTCTCGGGAGCCAAATGTCGGTGGTGAGCAGGGCCAGAGGCAAACGTGGGCCGAGTAATTGCCTTGATGTGCTGAATTGCTGCACATGCTCAAACACTCCTTTCTGCCCTCCGTGCAGCCAGACATTATCTGAGCGAGGGGACACCTTCCTGCTGGGCAGAAATGCTCCAGGAGCCTGCGAAGGAAAATCTGTCCTGTGTGTAGCTGGGGAGATGTGGCTTGAGGAGAGTCCCCTGGGCCAGAGAGAGAGAGAGAGGTTTGGAGGGGCACATTTGGCCCCTGGGGCTGAGTTTTCCCACCGCAGGGGTGAGGGATCAGGCTAGGAGGACCAGAGGCAAACCCTTCAACTCAAGCGTTTGCATTCCAGTGGAGCATGGGGTGAAGCAAATTTCTGCAAACATGGACTTTGGTATTGAGCGGCAGAGCATTTGGCTGAAATCCTGAAAACCAGAGTTTTCCCTTAAAAGCAGGTTTGGGGATGCAAATGTTAAGGTTTGAAGTGTGCGGCACGTGGGACCTCTCCGTGGTATCACGACAGAGGTCAGTATCAATCACTTCATAGCCTCTTGTCTCGCCCCATGACTTGCAAAAGCAGAGTGAATTATGCAAAGTGCGTGTGTCCTTGTTTGTCTACCCCTTTCAAAGTTCATCTCTGGTTTGGTCAATTTAGACTCTGGACAATGGACTCGGCACAACACCTCTTTATATAAGTAACTGTGTCTTATGGGGGCTCACTAAACTTTGGCCCTCCAGCGTACAACTCTTCCTCCTCTTGACCATTGGTCATGCTGGCTAGGGTTGATGGAGCTGTAGTTTATTTTATTGAGAATATTATACTGCTTCCTGGAGAGTTTTAGTCTACTCCAGCTATCTAAATCTTTTTAATCTCTTTCCATGCCTTATTATAGTTATCCTCTACTAAGTTTATGTTTTTTGTAGATACCCAAATACCCAAGTATTTCACCTTTTTCACTACCTTAATCCCTGTTTGTCTCTCTATCTGCTTTCTTAAATCTTCCGCTAGGTTCTTTGTCAACATCTTTGTTTTAACTTTGTTTAATTTAAACCCAGATAGCTTCCCGAATTCTTCCAACATCTCCAATACTCTCTCGATGCCTTTTGCTGGTTCTTCTATTGATATTACTAGATCGTCGGCATAAGCCTTTAGTTTATACTCCTTTACTCCCGATTCTTATGCCTCTTATTTCCGTGGTCTCCCTTATTTTATTGGTAATGACTTCCAGAACCATAATAAATAGGAGAGGGGACAGGGGACACCCCTGTCTTGTACCCTTTGAAATTGTAAACGAGTTTGTTAAGTTATTATTAATGATTAGTTTAGCCCTTTGATTGGAGTAAATCGCTTTTATACCTTCTAAAAAGGGTCCCTCTATCCCTGCCCTTTCTAGACATTTTAATAGGAAGCTCCAGGATACGTTATCGAAAGCTTTCTCGGCGTCGATGAATATTAGGGCCGCTGGAATATCATTTCTCAGTTCTAAATATTCAATGATATCTATATATGTCTTACATATATATATGTCCAGCTTTGCTTCTTTGTGTTACAGTCATACCTCTGGTTACAGCTGCTTCAGGTTGCGTTTTTTTGGGTTACGGACCACCAAAACCCGGAAGTACCGGAACAGGTTACTTCTGGGTTTTGGCGGTCACACATGCGCAGAAGCACTAAATTGCGCTTTGCGCATGCGCAGAAGTGCCGAATCGCAACCTGCGCATGCGCAGATGCACAGGCGTGGGTTGCAAACGTGCATCCTGCATGGATCACGTTCACAACCTGAACTTCCACTGTACTGGAAAATCAGAGGACCCGAGTGCCTGAGATAATGTTGTTGCTTTTTCCTCCAAAGGTGTGTTTGGCAGTGAATGCAGTCCTGAGAAGGCAGAAGTCGATGTGACCCCTATGACTGAAGAAGGTGGGGACGTCCAGCCCCCACAGAGAAGTGCTGAAGCTGCTCCGGACGTGAAACTGGCCTGCCAGAGCTTGGGCCTCAGTGAAGCCTCTCCCAACTGCCCAAGAAAGCTGGCAGTGGAGGAGATGGTCATCCGAGACCACTTGGGCCAGGAAGTGGGCAGCATGGATGCTGTGGGGCAGAAGCAGAGCTCCATTGGGAAGGAGGAAGACTTGGAGGGCCACCCTGATTTAGGGAATGAGGGTGAAGAAGGGAGCAAGCCAAACCACCTTTGCAGTGCCTCGAGTTCAGTGAAGGCCCCTGGAGCTACAGAAAGCCGGGTGGACAATGAACTGGGCAGCCGTGACGGTCCTGAGGGAGAGTCCCCCACTTCTTGGGATCATCAGAGTCCCTCTAAGGCACCGCAGGGCTGAGAATAGCTGCCTTGATTCTCCCAAGTGGCAGGCAGAGGCCGAGCTGGAGATGGGCTCCCTGGCCAAGGAAGCAGAACTGATGGGAGCTGGGCAGAAGGAGTTCCCAGAACAGGGTGCCAAGGAGGCGGATCCTGCCCGAGGCCTAGCAGTTGGCCATGTGGAGCCAGTGATGGGGAGACAGGAAAATCTAAGCAGAGAGAGCCTGGGGTCATGGCTGGACCAGCCTAAGCTTCCTCTGCTGGACCAGATCCCTGATCTGGAAGAAGCCAAGATGCCACTTCTAGATGAAGTCATGTCGTCATCATCACCTCTGCCAGACCAGGTTCCAGTGACACTTCAGGAACAGATTCTTCCTCCCCTGCAAGACCAGATTCCATCTTTTCAGGAAATGGAGGGTTCACGCCTAGAGCCTTTGTTACCAAATCAGAGCCTGTCCACTCTTTCGGACCAGACTGCTCCTTTGCAAGAAAGGAAGGAACTGCTTTCAGCCCCAGTTCCACCCCCACAGCAAGAGTCCCTTTTAGATCCAGCCCCACCATCTCTGCAGGACCATCCTTCCTCTTCTCCAAAAGAGAACCCATCCTCTTTGCAGGGTGAGGTCACTTCTCTGCAGGACCAGATCCCATCGCCTCTACGTGAAGCTAATGGGAAACCTCTGGACCAGATCCCAACATCTCTACAAGAACAGAGTGCTGCTCTGCCAGATCAGGTCCTGTCACCTCTACTAGACCAGCTCACATCTCTGCCAGAGCAGATCCCTTCCTCTTTGAATGAAACAGAGAAATCGCTTCAGATATCGACAACTTCACAGGGCCAGGAACTTTCTGGGGTGGAAGCTAAAGGATCCTTTCCAGACATAATCCCCTACCAGCTCACTTCTCTGCCTGATCAAATAAATTCCCTTCAAGAATCAGAAGGGTTGTCCTTGGAAGAGATTCCAGTCATTCTGCAGGATCAAATGCCAACAGCTTCCAGAGGCCCGGATCCCTTCTCTGCCAGAGGAAGACATCATTCTTCCAGGCCAGATCCCACTCCCTGTGGATGAAGCTAAGCATTTACTTCCAGGGGAGTCTCCAGCATCTGTACCAGACCCGATCCCACAAGCTCTTCTGGACCAGAACCCAACATTTCTGGAGGGTGCAGCCCCTTCTTCTCTGCAAGAGGCGGGAGGATGCCTTACAGACCAGATGCAGGCATCCCTGCCAAGCCAGACCTCACCTTGTCTCCTTGAAGCTAAAGGGTCACCTCAGGGCCAAGCTCAACCCATGCTAATGGAGCAGGTGCCAATCTCTATGCAGGGCCAGGCAACGTCCCTTCAGGAACCTGAAAAGTCTCTTCCAGAAAAGCTGGAAGAAGTGCCCCTTATGCCAGGCCAAGCCCCTTCCCCTAACCCAACGGCTCCAGATGCTTTGCTCTTGTCCAGCCAGGACGTTGGCCAGCCTCTCCTGGACAAGACTGTATCAGTGGGGAATCAGGAGCTGAAAGAAGGTGGAGGTGCCAGCCTGGCCTCAGCAGCAGAAGAGGCGAAGGAAGTCCTGGAAAGTCTCCACGCTGAACAGCAACCTCTGCTGCAGGAGGCCTCAGCAGATGCTCTGGACATTTCTGTCGGAGACATGCAGCCCAAGACGGGGATCTTAAAACTCCAGGCAGCCACTAACCAGGAGGCCCCAACCTACACCACCACCTCTGCCAACACTGCCTCCTCATGCCAGCTCCAGCCCACGGCACCCCGGCAAGGGGAAGACCCAGAGCAGGGGCAGAGCAGGCGCAAGCAGAAGTCATGCCAGTGCTGCTCGGTCATGTGAGCTTGGCTAGGATGCCCTTCCTCAGGAACAGGAGTTGTTGATCTGGTCCCAGTGGCAGGCTCTGAAGTTGGTAACATGCCCTGCCAGTAGTCTACTGTAGGTATCTCTCTCTCTCTCTCTCTCTCTCTCTCTCTCTCTCTCTCTCTCTTCTCATACACACACAAACACACACACACTCCCTGGGAGGAGATTGATGCTGGTTGTGTTCAAATAGTGGATTTGCCTCTCCATGTTTATCTCTCCATGTTCCCCTGGAGTGGGTGAACAGGCGGGAGAGAAATCTGATGCTCTAGCTGTTTGGGAAGCTCCAAGTGTGTCACACGTAGGCACTAACACATGGACATGCACCCACACAATTGCAGCAGGCACACTCTGCACACTAGCAACATGGGTCCACATTGCTGACCGTGCATTGTCATGCACTAACGCATAGACTCCACCAACATGTTCCCTCCGCCTGTGTTTCCTGTGTATGCATTCTCCCCCAGACACACACATTTGTGTAAAGTTGCGTAGTTGGAATGCACATATCCATGCACAGCTGTTGTTAACATGCATACACAGGCACATACATTCACATATCCGCTTGCATGTTGGCCTGCAGCGCATCAGTTCACAACCCATGGTTTCATGTGCCAGTACGAAAAGACATCTGCTTCCACATGCTTGTACATAACTCGCATTGGGCTGGATACGAGAGCTACACCTATGCATGCAGAACTCTTGACACCTCCACTCTCCGCATGTGCCTGAATCCCTCTTGCCAGCTTGGCATTACTCTCCAAAATCAGTCTGGGCGCATTCCAGAGAAACTGAGCAATACCTTCTTCCCTTCGTACTGCCTTCTGCACGTAGGCTGAGGTGCCCCAGCTGTGCCACGATGGATTCTGCCACAAATACTCAGCACTGTGACACTTTGGGCACAAGAGGACTCTGGGACAGCAGGAGCTGGAGATACAGAGAGACTCTGGACAATGAGCTGCTGGAACCCTCTCAGCTTGGATGTGGCCTCCCAGCTAAGATCTCACATGGTGCAGACTTAATGCTCTCCCTCACAAGGGCAGACTGAGAGACCTTTCCTAACTGTGGACCCCCCCCCCATTCCTATCACAGCCACTGGGTCCATGCTCTAGCCAGAGTACAGGGACTCCCAGCCCTCCTCCTCACAACCACCCACACCCTTCCCATGACTGTTTATTCTATGCACTTTGTTTTTAATTCTAATTATCTAACTTCTGTTAGGGCCACCACCAAAGTCAGTAAGAGCCTTTTACATGGTCAGTTCCTGGGCAGTACTGGAAGAGTCTCAATTAAAGTCAGATGCAATGACGAGCGGGACCTCTGGCTATGCTTGGGGTGAGGAAATGGGTCTGGTGCTCTGGAGCTGGCAAAGGGGTGGTCCGCAGGGATGTTCCAGCTACCAGCATCTTTTTACTAACAACCACAGCTAGAGGAACAGCATGACCTAGATGTCAGGGCAGAAAACATAGGCAGGCAATTGGGGGTTCTGGGGTTATCCTAAATAGGCAAAGGTAAAGGACCCCTGGGCAGTTCAGTCCAGTCAAAGGCGACTATGGGGTTGCGGCACTCATCTCGCTTTCAAGCCGAGGAAGCCAGCGTTTGCCCATAGACAGCGTTTGCCCATGTGGCCAGCATGACTAAACCGCTTCTGGTGCAACGGAAGTCAGAGCGCACTGAAATGCTGTTTACCTTCCCGCTGCAGCGGTACCTATTTATCTACTTGCACTGGCATGCTTTCAAACTGTTAGGTTGGCAGAAGCTGGGACAGAGGAACGGGAACTCGCCCCGTCACGCAGATTTGAACCGTTGACCTTCTGATCGGCAAGCCCAAGAGGCTCAGTGGTTTAGACCACAGCGCCACCCATGTCTGGCTTCCGTCACGATGTTCCTGCTCTTTCTAGCAAGTGAGGCCCTTGACGTCTGCCCTAAAGGCCTTCCCAGCTAGCCCCACTTCCAGCTCCCCACATACTTGCATACTGAGAGGCGAGAGGAGGCATTTCAGCAGATGCTGGCAGGGGGGCATGGGTGTAGCCAGGATTTATTTCGGGTGGAGGGGCAGGCATTGTTAGGGGGTGACACAGAACCGAGTTATCTGCAGCGCAATTGGTCTGTTAGTTAAGTATCTAGGAGTTGAGGAAAAGCTGCCATATCTAGGAGTTGAGGAAAAGCTGCCAAGGGGATGTTGGGCCACAGACTCATGGCAAAGGCTTGGTGTTTCCATGTTAAGCAGCATTTGTAGGAAGGGCAGCTGTGGTGGAGCAAAGCCTTGGGACAGGTGTGCCAACAGGAGATGGTGCCACGCAATGCATATGCAACCTCCCCAACCACAGAGGAAGTGCTTCTGTTCTACTAAGAGAGGCATGCAGGTAAGTGAGCCTGTCCCTACGACACCCACAGCCAGGCCAGTGAGTTGCCAGCTGGGTCCACTCCTGGGCCACTCACCTTGGTCTCAAGAACACCCAAGCTTCTGTTGTAGAATCAGTGCAAGGATCAGAGCACCCAGAGTTCTTCTAGTGGGTTTTGCTGTTGCCTTATCCAGGCTTAGGTTTCTACTCCTGGAGTTATTTGCCCTGCAGATTTCATGTAACGTGCCTGTCTTTGTGCTGGCACCAAAGGCAGCCCTAGTATGAGGCCAGATTTCAGTTGACCGGGTGAAGCCTTTGTTCGGTGCCCAGTGAAGCAGAGTGCTCAATGGCCTTGCCAACCCCGGAAAACAAGCAACATGATTTTATTTCGACCAAAGGATTGATCCGGGCTGTTTTCTCACGGGCAGTTCAGAAAGGAGAAGAAGTGTCATTTGTCTAGGTCAGGCATGTCCAACAGGCAGATCGTGATCTACCAGTAGATCACTGGATGTTTGTGGTAGATCACTGGCAGATCACTGGCTCCCACCAAAAGAGCTCAAAAAGTTTGGTTCCCCTAAAAAAAAGCTCAGCATGAACCCCCAAAAAACGCTCAACAACTTTGACCTGAACCCCAAAAAAGGGGATAGATCACTGCCAGTCTTTAACTCTGTGAGTAGATCGCAGTCTCTTGGGAGTTGGCCATCCCTGGTCTAGAGTAAACACTATTAGGGAAAGGAGAACCCTGGCTCCCAATCCCATACCACCCCCTTCTTCTTACTGCCCGACTGCGAAACACTACGAAAGCCGTTGCTTGGAACACCACGTTCCAAAGGAACACAAGTGTCGATATTTTATTGTTAATAATTTTGCTTTCTACCACCCTCTCCATAAACCAGTACAAGTGTGCAGGCAAGGAGCAACTTTTTGCCCGAGCTCTTACAGATGGCAGCACTAAAGGGAGAGTCCTTTCACGGGGGGGGGGGGGGGATGGTATGTCTACAAAGCAGGTCATCTTCACAAGTATTGAGGCTGCTGGAATACCTCTGATCGATAGCTGGTCAAATGGTCACATCAGGACATACGGGGCAAGTCAGGCATTATGTCAATTGCAAAGGCGTTCTGGGAATTGTAGTTTGAAAATGATGTTGTGCTGGTGTTGGGATTTCAGGCACAAATGGCACCCCCACCCATTACAGTACCAGAGGTTCTTTGTGTGGCATCCATGATTATGAAATAGCCGTAAAACTGATGGCTGTGGGGTAGAGACCTTCCAAGCACAGCCGCACCATTGCCCCATCCTCTGTCCTGTAAGCCAGGGAAGGAACTTGGAAAGGATCAGGGTGAATTCCACTATAACTAAATTCTGAAGTTTTCCTTCAGCTTTGATGCAAGGCATATGCAGCTGATGTATAAAAGTGTGAAAAAGAGATTTGACTGTAAACACACAACAGCCGGGGGAGAACTGAGCATCCCTCTCTGCTTGAAGCATCGTCATATTTACCACTGCAAGGTAAAGGTAAAGGGACCCCTGACCATTAGTTCCAGTCGTGGCCGACTCTGGCGTTGTGGCGCTCATCTCGCTTTATTGGCCGAGGGACAGCTTCCGGGACATGTGGCCAGCATGACTAAGCCGCTTCTGGCAAACCAGAGCAGCACACGGAAACGCCGTTTACCTTCCCGCCAGAGTGGTACCTATTTATCTACTTGCACTTTTGACGTGCTTTCGAACTGCTAGGTTGGCAGGAGCAGGGACCGAGCAACGGGAGCTCACCCCGTTGCGGGGATTCGAACCATCGACCTTCTGATCGGCAAGTCCTAGGCTCTGGTTTAAACCACAGCGCCACCCGTACCACTGCAAACTGTGGTACAAACACACAGCAAAAGCCCATGGCCAAGGCAAGTGAAGGATAGTGGCTCTTTTGGCAGGGGGATGAAGATGTTTAATTCTACATGGCTTGCAGGGAAACAGACCTCAAAATGGAGAAATGTGTGTCAGATACAAAAATCCGCACACTAAAAGTTGTAGGTAGGAAACACAACCAAATACAACTGTGCTCAGTGGGCTCTAAGCTGTCTTGACCATGCAGGTAGCAGCAAGTGGGTGTACAAAAGCATCTGTCACACACATATCTAAGGGATGCTCAGATAAGACCCACCACCTGAACAGAAAGAAGCTGCCTCTTTCATATCAACAAAACTTACTACAAGGGAGACAGGAGGGCAGGGAAGGGGAGCTGCTCTCAAGGGAAGAGGGGACTTCATGCAGCTGCCCAAAGGTGGGCCCTAGAAGAGTCAGAGGCTGCAGCCCCAACTCTGCCTGCACTGGGGAACCTGGGCCAATTCCCTTCTGATCCATCCTTCAATGGGTGGCAAAGGAAATTGCTGCCATTTGAAATCGGAGGCATGCAAGGCTGCGAGAAATCACACACAAATTTGGAAAGGGGGGTCACTGCAGAATACACAAGGCAAGCAACGAAACAGGAATCCAGTGGCTTGAGGGGAAGAGAGGGAGACATTTTTATTTTAAAAACCAAACCAAACATACCCCACCCCCCAAATAAAAACTTGATAAAGCAGCTGTAACTTGTCAGTATCCAGAGCACCCTGAGCCTTCCTGCCCCCTGGTGGGGGCAAGGGAGTTGTTGCACCTTTTAAACTTGAACCGGATCTGCCAAAAGTTACTACAAGAAAGTATGCGACTGTCTTACAGAAGCACCATGTGACAGGTGGGGTGTAACTGCAGGCTTCTCCTTCTCCATACCTTTATTGGTAATGACACCATCTTGCATAGACATCTTCCAGGTGATCTTGGCTGCAAGTTGTCTTAGCTGTGTTTCCATCAAGTGTGAAATACACCTGTCCATTGCATGGACAGGGAGGCCACCCCAATTCAATCTCCACTTCTGCTTTATCCATCCAGGGAGCAGCTCTCTCTCTCTTTTTCTCTTTTTAATCGTCTTTATTGATCAGGGAGCACCTCTCAGGTGTGTTTCCTAACCCCACTGCCTTAAGCACAAGGCACCTTTTTAATGTATGTCCATGCTGCTTTGCAAGAGGAAAAACTTCCAAAGCAGCTTACAAGACACAAAACCAAACCAATGATATAAAAAGCAAATCTTAAAAAAAAAACAACCACCAAAACGTGTGGTTTTTTTTAAAAAAAAACCTAACAAAAGGTCAGAAGTAACAGTTACACTTGGGCACGGGAACCAGGCCCCACCCAAAGGTGAGAGATTTATAGCCCTTCCCAGAAGCAAGCAGCATTTCTTCCTCTTTGGCACTTTGGCATTCTGCTGCCTTGGGGCTACAGCTGTGTGGGGTTTGGGTCTAGAAGCAGCTGAATACACTGATAGGACAACACAGGAAGCTGTTTTATGCTGAATCAGACCACTGGCCCATCTAGCTCTGTATAATCTGCAGTGCCTCTCTGGGGTTTCAGACGGGACATTCCCAGTCCTGCCCGGAAATGCTGGCGATTGAATCAGGAACCTTCTGCACAAAAAGTGTGTGCTTTGCGCCAGAGGCGTAACAAGGTAAGGTGGTAGCTGGTGCGGAATTTCTTTTGTCAGCACCCCCCCCCATCGATGGCTCGGGGTAGGCTTGGGAGAGACACCTCTCAGCATTCTTGGGGTGTGTGTGGTTTAAATGGGTTCACAGCCAAAGAAAGGCAGAGAGGCAGCATCACCCTAAACACGCCCCGCTTGCTGGGTTGCACACGGTTTGGAGACCCTGCCCAGTGCCGGAAAGAGCGCCCAGTCTTCGGCACAATGGAGTCGCTGGGAATACGAAGGCCGAGGCCCCCGCTCTCCCATTTCCCTGCCCACCTACCCAAATCCCTTCTCGCTGCCTTACTCCATGCTGGCACCCTCTGTTCCCACGGCAAAACACAACAAACTCCTCTTACTTCGCCTTTCTTTCTCACCCACATCTAAAGTATGGATCCAGCTCAGATCCACTCACTGCGTCCTGGAGAGCGTGCACCTCTGGATGCAAAATAAGTTCGGGAATCGGGGGGGGGGTGTTTGCCCCCTCCCGGGGATCTGTTGTCTCTCTTTGCTATGACTCTGTCCCTATAGGAAGCTCAAGCCTGCCAGGCTGGGCAGAAAGGATTCCGGAGGGCCAACTCCTCCCCTCTCCTCGGTCCCAAGGCAGGAGTTGGGGACCATCTGGTCACCCAACAACCAAGAAGCGTGATTTGTGGCGGCCCCAAAGACTTCTCCCCAAACAACCTACTGGCTTCTAAACCGACCAGTGTAACCCTTGTCCAGTTAGCCCTTGCATGGGCACCTGAAGCAGCGGTCATGCCGTGCACCCGGGGGCGGGGCAAGCTGTGGGAGGGGGCATCTACCGCACACAGGGGCAGCAGGGCATGCCCCCCATGGTGTGCCTTTTTGTCACCCTCCTCACAGATTACATCTGGGGTGGACTGCCTCCCCCTGCCCCCTTCCTATACCCCTGCTTTGTGCTTCTGAGCTACTGGCCCCCAAAGAGATGAACGATGCCTCTGCTTAAGGAAGGAAGAACCAACCCCCCCCCCCCACTGACACCATGGCTCTGTTGGGAATCTGAATACGTTCAGCTTCACACACAGAGTCAATTAGGGTTTGGCCGACAGCCAAGGCAATGTGAAGGAGTAAGTCTGCCTGGTGATACAGAGGCATGGAGACAGCTCCATGATTGGTCAAGCTCTCTCACGGGAATGATGATTTATGGCCTACTAACTGGAATGTGTTAGTTCAGAGTTCAGAGTTCAGCGTCAGTGAGTGAGGTTGAGAGTTGTGAGTCGTGTAAGAGAGAGCAAGTCAAAGATCCGTGTTCTGTTCTGTTCCTGTAAATAGTCCACTGTATATAATAAACACCCATAACTACAAGTTCCTGGTTCCTGCTCCGTCCATCTTGTCTGCAGCCAGTAAACTCTACGTTTACTCTGCTAGGTCTGGCTAAGGTCCTGCAACTAGTCAGAAAGTTGTGAAACACCAATAGGCTCCAGCATCCAGGTGGAGATCAAACAGCTGAGACAACAGAAAGACCGAGCCAAGTAGTAACAGCTTAACACCGGGGAGCCTTGAGGAAGATCCAGGCTCAGTCCACAACTTCATTGTGCTTCCTCCTTCCCAGGAATCTCTCTGTGGCTGTTTTGAGGCCACAAGCACCGGTTAGAGCACCTGGGTCTGTAACCGACAGTTCTGCCCTTTGATCCATGGCATAAGAGATGCTCTGATAGCCAAAGAAATTGGCAGGGCACTTTTCCTACAGTATGTCCAAGGCTGAAGAACAAATGCGGGAGCATAGGTTGCTGACCATGGTCCAGCCAGAGATCAGAGGCTGTAGGAATAAGCTTCAGGTCCCCACTCTCCCATTGGTCTCCAAAGATCATAGGCATCCTCTCTTCTCAAGCCAGCCTCTGCAGCTCCTCCAAAGTGGGCATGAATCGCTTCTCATAGCCAGAGAACTCCACTGGGGCAAGGGGCGTGGTCTGCTCTGGGGCTGGTTCCTTAATCTCAACAATGTCTAGCTCTTCTGGGAACTTGACTGGGCATTGGCTTAGGGCATCCTGCAAAACAAATGCAATAACCATAATTTATTTGCCTCCTATCTGGCTTGGTTGCCCCAGCCATTCTGGGCAGCTTCCTGCAGATTATAAAACCACCGTAAAACGTCACACATTTAAAACTTCCCTATTCAGTGGTACCTCAGGTTACAGGCGCTTCAGGTTACAGACACTTTAAGTTACAGACTCAGCTAACCCAGAAATAGTACCTCAGGTTAAGAACTTTGCTTCAGGGTGAGAACAAAAATCACGCAGTGGTGGCGCGGTGGCAGCGGGAGGCCCCATTAGCTAAAGTGGTACCTCAGGTTAAGAACAGTTTCAGGTTAAGAACGGACCTCCAGAACGAATTCAGTTCTTAACCAGAGGTACCACTGTACAGGGCAGCCTTCAGATGTCTTCTAACATGTTTTCAACCTGGCGCCTAAAATATATATAATGGCGCCAGGTGAACCTCCCCGGGGAGAGCGTTCCAGATAAGCACATTTATTCAAATATATCATCAGTTACTGTCTGTTAGAAGATGGGTTGATCAGTCCTTAAAATCTGGCACAAGTTCTTTTTGGGTCCGCTCAGCAAGTGAAGAGGACGAGGCAACTGGGATGGCTAGTTCTCTCCAGAAACCAGATCCTTCCCATCTGCTCCCACCACAAACAGAGACAGTACATATCTGGGTTGTTGTTTTTTTAACCCAATGACTTCCTACCATGCCAGGGGCAGCGTTGTGCTCATCAATCCTCGAGGTAACATCACTGTGCCCTGGGTCTGGAATCTTCTCCCAGCACCACGGAGGCAGGATCTTATGGCAGAAGTCAAGGACCCTGCGGAGGAGAGACATCGACAAGAGTTTTCACATGGGGCTGCAAATTGAAATTGAAATACTTCATTGTCACTTGTACAACTTGTATACAGTGAGATTACACGAGCACCCCCCCCCACTCAGCTCTCTTAGTCAAAATTAATTCCCCTCGTTTACTGACACCCACCCACCAAACCCGAAAGTCAGTTGCCCTGTTGTTATCTTTTCATTCAGCAGCCCACAGAAGCATTTCTCTACCCTGTTGGTGCGACTAATCATGCTTCTATATCTTCTGCCTGAGGGCAGGAGATCAAGAAAGTGCCAGCCAGGGTGTGAATCATCCCTGAGAATTTTCCTCACTCTCCTGAGGCAACGTTCTTCCACTATTTCATCCAGCGGATTCACGGGACAGCCCATAATATCTTGTGCTGTATTCACCACCCTCTGTAGGCACTTCCTATCAGTTGATGTCAAACCAGCGTACCACACCGTGATGCAGTATGAAAGGACACTTTCTATCATTGACCGGTAGAAGGAGATCATCAAATGTTGATTGACATCATTCTTCTGCAATACTCTGAGGAGATGGAGTCTTTGTTGGGCTTTCTTAACCACCTGGGTTGTATTTATTTTCCAAGTAAGGTCTTCACTGAGATAAACTCCTAGGAATTTAAAGGAAGAGACTCTCTCCACACAGCCCTCCCCGATGTACAGCGGGGCTAGTTCTCCTCTCTTCCTCCAAAAGTCCAACACCATCTCCTTTGTCTTGCTGATATTAAGTTGCAAGTTGTTCCCTAGGCACCGTGTAGATATTTTTTGGACCTCCCCTCTATATGCTGATTCGTCTCCACCTGTTATTAAACCCATTATGGTGATGTCATCTGCAAACTTAATAATTGCAGTAGACGGGTCAGATGATACACAATTGTATGTATACAATGAATGAGGGGGAGATGGGAAGGGGAGGTAAGTAGCCACAGAATGCTGGGCATGATGTCACACGGACCAGCCTGCCTCCCCACCACACCTCTGCCTTATATTACTCACCTTCTGTAATTAACCAGCACCACAAGTAAGGCCACGAAAAGCAGGAATCCCAGAACCAGGAAGACTGCCAGGAGGGTCTGCCAATGGGAATCTGCAGGAGATCATGGGGATAAAACTCAGATGACCCTCACTGGGCACAGACTGTTCAGAGTCAAGTTCAGAACGTACTGTGTGAACTGCTTTGCTTTTTTTGCATGTTGACTAGACGGCCGCCATTCAGACCAATGGAACAAAGTAGAAAGAAAGCTTCTCTTGGAGAGAGCATTGAGCCATGGGGGAAACCTGCCCCAGGCCCATGGCATTAGCTGGCCCCTGACTCCACCAGAAGAATCTCCCATGGCTGTGGCTGTGCATGTGCATCTTTGCAGACGCCAGAAAGGTCTTTGCGCAAAAATTGGGACTTCCCCAAGACCTCTTGCTGACATGGCCTGATCTTGTCCTGAAGTTTGATATTTCCCTATCAAGGCATTTCAAGATGGCTCCGGCTGCTGGGTTTACTGAGCTGTTGCATAGCCTTTGCACATGCCAAGTAGGTTTCACTTGGTCCAAGCAACAGAAGTCCTAGAAGCCTCTCCTACCTGGAGTGCGGAAGTGATGCACAGGACTGGGCACACCTTCCCCAGCTGAGGTGGATCCCGTCATGCAGAGCTGGTAGGGAGTCCCAGGCGTCAGGTCCAAGAGACTGTAGCTCCTCTCTGCAGCACCAACTACAACTAGGAAAGGGGTGGATAATCTGAGCATAGGCGGGGCGGCAGTTTGTACCCACCATCCAAGAGTTTACTGCACCAGTATCTCAATGTGTTGGCTGGCGTGGGTGGGAGAAGAGATGGGGACCTAATGAGAGCACATTGACATCAGACTGCTAGGAAGAAACTGAAGTCCAACATGACATGAAATTCTGGTACTGAACTGTTACTGAAGTTAAAAGGTAAAGGTAAAGGACCCCTAGACGGTTAAGTCCAGTCAAAGGCTGGTGTGGTGCTCATCTCATTTTCAGGCCAAGGGAGCCGGCCTTTGTCCACAGACAGCTTTCCAGGTCATGTGGCCAGCAGGACTAAAGTGCTTCTAGCGCGATTGGATACCGAGACGGAAGCCAGAGCACACGGAAACACCATTTACCTTCCTGCCACAACGGTACCTATTTATCTACTTGCACTGGCATGCTTTCAAACTGCTAGGTTGGCAGGAGCTGGGACAGGGCAACGGGAGCTTAACCCGTCGCAGGGATTTGAACCGCCGACCTTCCAATCGGCAAGCCCAAGAGGCTCAGTGCTTTAGACCACAGTGCCTCACTGAACTGAAACTGAAAGCAGATAATGCCCCTTATGCTCCACTGAGTTAATAATGATTTTATTATTTATACCCAACCCATCTGTAACTCCATCCTTGTATTTCTATGGTAAAAGCCCTATGGCTACACACAAGGTCAATCCCATGTGCAGACATGGAATCAATCATGCCCAGCCCCAATGCATGTGCACCAGATGTCACATTGGCATAGCAGTCTGCGACTGGTGCAGCCTGCATGCCTCACAGTAGTGGGACCTGGTTTGATTTCCTTGGTCCACTCAATGCATCTTTCAGCCCCGAGATCCAGGGGTTGCAGATTCCAGATGCAATCCATGTAGGCAGCTGCAAGGAAGACCTCCGTGTCGGCAACTCAGAGGGTCTTGGGCCCAGCCCCTCCCTCCCCGCAAACCTGGGAATTGCCTCTTGGTCTCAGGTGTCACTCACTGGTCCTGTTTGCCTTGGCGTTCCGTAAAGTGGGATGTCCCAGGTAAAGTGTGTAGTGGGTGATGTGTCCATTGCGATCTCCCAGCGGAATTTCCCCCCAGGAGATGAGAGAGGCTGTAGGTGTAATGCTTCTGTCCTGCAGTCCCTGGGGAGCAGCTGTTGGTGCTGGAAAGGGGAAGGAAGGAGAAGGAATGGGAATGTGTTGAAAAATATATCGTACAAAACCATCGTAACAGAAATCTCTGGATAAGTATTGACTGAACCCATTAAGTTAAGAACTGATACTTCTCATAGGTGAATGATTATTGGGATGAATAAAAATGAACGCAATATTAGAATTTCGAGAAATGAGTGTGATATCATGCACGTGGGTGAAGGAAGTCACTTGGGTATTTGGGTAGAGGGTTAGGTGTGGGGAATTTGTAATTACGGTAAATACACTATATGTTATGTATAATGTTGAAACCTTATGTTAATTAACATGTAATATGTATTTGATGATAATAAAATAATAAAAAATAATAGTAATAATAATAATAATTATTATTATAGGAGAAGGAAGGAGGATGGCCTGTCAGTTAAAGAGAATGGCAGGAGACCGTGGTGCAAGGGGCGGTTTCATTTTCAGGTGATGTTAGGAAGGCAAATGGAAGACACTCCATTCTGCAATGATCCTCAGCGAAAGTGCTTTATTATGGGTGAACCTCTGCACAATGCACAGGAAATCTGGGGAACATGCACTTCCCTACAAAGCTTAACAATGATTAATAAAATAAATCAGTATATAACAGGCTAAAAGTAGTAAAGAGAAAAGCTTGGTCTTATCTGTTGAAGAAATGCTTTCATTTTTTGGCCTACGTTGCTTTAAAAGTGGGGGGGGGAGAGAATTAAAATCTTGCACTAATTATTTTACATGCCATCCAGATTAAGTAAGCTTTATCCTTTCTCTAATTGGTGTTGGAGGTAAAATGAAAAATAATGACGGACTTCTTTGGTTTTTAAACATATCTGGTGGTCCTGTGTTAAAATGCAGCTTTACGTGGCAAAGAATATACAGCTGGTGACAAAGCTTCCTTTGCAAACAGATGTGCTTTTGAGAATTATATTTTGAGTATACCTGAAGGAGCGTCTCCACCCCCATCGTCCAGTCCAGACACTGAGGTCCAGCGCCAAGGGCCTTCTGGCGGTTCCCTCATTGCGAGAAGTGAGGTTACAGGGAACCAGGCAGAGCGCCTTCTCGGTAGTGGCGCCGCCCTGTGGAACGCCCTCCCATCCGATGTCAAGGAAATAAACAACTATCTGACTTTTAGAAGACATCTGAAGGCAGCCTTGTTTGATGTTTTATGGTGTTTTTAATATTCTGTTGGGAGCCACCCAGAGTGGCTGGGGAAACTCAGCCAGATAGGCAGGGTATAAATAATGTTGTTGTTGTTGTTGTTGTTACATTAATAAGCAGCTCCATACACTTTTGAAGGGACTCTTCTTACAACAGCTGGGATCATGGCTAAGGGAGACCCAAGTCAATAGCAAGCTCCCCTTTCTGCAAGCTGGAACAACAGCAAGGTCCACACATGAAGAGTGAGCAGAAACAAGATGACTGCACTGTTTCAAGACTACAGCAGAGGATCTCACACCAGAAAGCTAAAAGCCACTCCTCTTCCTTGCCAAAAGAAAACCAATACACCAGGTGGGATAGTTTCTACCTTGTTCCTCATCCCACTGACAACCTCCGCATTCCCTTTGCCCATCAATATTACCTCCTTCCTTGAAGTAGGCTTGCACAGGGACCGAAGCGCTGCTCCCATGAGCATACACAGCATAGACGCAGACAAGGTAGGGCACCTTTGCTCTGAAGTTACCTGAGAAGTGGGGAGCAAAAGCAATGTCAGGCCACCTGAGGAGGTACAAGATGAACAAGCCTCTTTCTCCAAGCACAGAGACCATGTGGTGCCAGACATTATCTGGGGTTTGTTGCCTGTCTCTTTTCGCTCCATGCATCCCACATGATTATCCAGAGGAGGGCCGCTAGCTGTCTCCACACCCAAAGAGGACTTGCATGTTTTTGGTTAGGTGAACACCCAAGTGTGGGAAAGCCCTGAGAGACCTCGTGGGGCTGGGTGGGAGTACGTGGAAGAGTAACTATCTCCCAGCCATGGTTGTGACAAACAAAAAAAAGTAGCTCCAAAAGATGCTATTTGCAATTTAAGGGAAGTCTCCGCCACGGTCCATGTGTGAAGACCAAAGAGCATCCTCTGAGGAGAGGATTTCTGTTGGGACTGTGGTAGGGGGAAGAGAGGACCAATCTGCCTCTCCCCCCCCTCCACAGTGCCAAAACCGATGGGTTTCCGCCAACCCTGCTATCTATATCCTTGTTTTTCCTTTGCCAATAACCCCTCGCTGTCGTGGGAGCTGCCTCCATTAAGGCAGACCGGAACCGGAAGCCTGCTTCCCTCAACACTACTATCTATATCACAAAAAGTCTGCTAATTGCATTTCATACCACTAACAACACATTTACTTTGGCTTGGGAGTTTCTCTCCCCCCCCCCCCCCCCGCTTAGAGCTCTCCCACACTCCTCACCTCTCAACAGGGCGCTGCTGCTGTTCCTGGGGCTCCGTATCCAGTTCAGCAACTGTCCGACGGGGTTGCTGGAGATCTCTTCTCTCCATTCCACCACATACTCCTCAGGCTGGAGCCACCGAGCACTTGCACTGGGCTTCCACATCACCCTGAGACCCAGGCCTGGTACAGCCATCACCTGGACTTCCTCAGGGCCAGGAAGATCTGGAGAAAGGCCAATTCGTTTGTCATTAAGAGCATCCCTGGAGGCACTGGGTACCTTCCCCAGCACAGTGTTGGTGATGACCTTTAAAGCCCTAAACAGCCTCAGTCCTGTATACCTGAAGGAGCATCTCCACCCCCATTGTTCAGCCCAGACACTGAGGTCCAGCTCCGAGGGCCTTCTAGAGGTTCCCTCACTGCGAGAAGTGAGGTTACAGGGAACCAGACAGAGGGCCTTCTCAGTAGTGGCACCTGTCCTGTGGAACATTGGAACATCCTCCCATCAGATGTCAAGGAAATAAGTAGCTATCTTATTTTTAAAAGACATCTGAAGGCAGCCCTGTTTAGGGAAGTTTTTAATATTTAATGCTGTATTGTTTTTAACACTCGATTGGGAGCCGCCCAGAGTGGCTGGGGAAACTCAGCCAGATGGGCGGGGTATAAATAAATAAATTAATAATAATAATAATAATAATAATAATAATAATAAATTATTATTATTATTATTATTATTATTATTGTCCAAGAAGACTCCTGTGACAGCATCACTGCTTGTGACATTCGCCAGGCAAGAGACCTCTTTGCAAGGATGGTGCCAGGGGAACAAGTGCCCCCACAACAAAGAGCTTTCCCCCCCCCACTCCATTGCTGGGTGCATATACAAAGTGTATTTATATAATATTAACCCTGCAACTCTTCAACATTTAAGATGCACCTCTTGAGCCAACACAGGATCCGTGCATTGCAGCTACTGACATGCTCTTCGGCATGCCAACAGACCATTGGCAATCCAGTGAAGGGAAGTGGGAGGAATCTGTGGCACAGAAGAGAGCAGCCAGTTTTCATCCTGGTCCCCACATCCAGGATAGGCATGGAAGTGGAGCTCCTCAGCCACTGAGAAGATGCCTTCTCACCCTTTGTGCTGATTGGAACCGAACAGAGTGAAAAGAGGAGAATCGGCTACTGAGAATTGGCTCCTAGGGTCAATCTGCAGAGAAGGCACTCAGACACAGAGGAGAAATGTGGGGAACTTGGAGAGATGAGGGAGAACAAACAAGCCTGTGTGGAAAGGGGAAGCCTGGGCTGAAGAGGAGCTTGTGGTTGCTGCTCTCTCTCCATTCCGGCACAGAAGGACCATGCTGAAGAGATCTGTGCTATTTTTGCACTTTTATTGGTCTGGATTTGGAGGGGGGTGAGAGAGAGGTGGGTGGGTGAGTGGGCAGCATGTTAGCTAAACTCTGTAAGCTTGCCATGGTTCCAGTTACAGATAGGTAGCCATGTTGGTCTGCCATAGTCAAAATAAAAAAATTCCTTCCAGTAGCACCTTAAAGACCAACTAAGTTAGTTCTTGGTATGAGCTTTCGTGTGCATGCACACTTCTTCAGATACATGCATGCACACTTCTTCAGATACACTTCTTCAGATACTTCTTCAGGTATCTGAAGAAGTGTGCATGCACACGAAAGCTCATACCAAGAACTAACTTAGTTGGTCTTTAAGGTGCTACTGGAAGGAATTTTTTTATTCTGTAAGCTTGCACATCCTCCAATTTGTTTCGTTTCCTAACAACGATCTCATTCTCAACCCAACAGCAACCCAAAAGGGCCGGGGAGATGTGGGGCTTTGTTCGAGTCCAAAGCCATATTTAGGAGAGGAAGGGAAAGAGATAGGAGTAAAAAGGAATTTCCACGTTTCCTCTTAAAAGGCATAATAATACGCTCTGCCCAAATGCAGTTACTCCGAGTCTTAGAATGGCAGCCAGAGGGGGAAATCAGCAAAGGAATTCCTTATCTGACAGCATCTTAGTCTTGCGGGCAATAATAATAATTATTGCCCGCAAGACTAAGATACTAATAATGATAGTGAGGCAGATGATATGCAAAACTGCCTGAATGGGCTGAAACCTATCTTTTCTAACATTCCAGTCACGGAGGTATGTACAGGGAAATAGGAGAAGGGTGTGGGAAGGGGGCAGAGTTCAAAAGGTTACAAATTCCTGTGCGAAATGAGTGCCTGGCCTGCTTGCAGTCCTCTGTTTATCAGGAACATGGAGATAAATTCCTGAAAGTCATCGAGGAAATTCCAGAGTATTCTGGTACAGTGGAACCTCAGGTGACATACGCTTCAGGTTACATACGCTTCAGGTTACAGACTCCGCTAACCCAGAAATAGTGCTTCAGGTTAAGAACTTTGCTTCAGGATGAGAACAGAAATCTGGCTCCAGCGGCACGGCAGCAGCAGGAGGCCCCATTAGCTAAAGTGGTGCTTCAGGTTAAGAACAGTTCTAGGTAATGTGAGGAGAATATAACGCTAGTGTGCTTTAAAGAAGCTTTGTGAAAATTAAGGAATATTGCAGGAATGTAAATGAGGAAAGAAAATTTTATTTAAAGGCGATATTAGAATTAAGGAATGTGTAGATAGGAGAACAACTTTGGATGATTGTCAGAGGAGTTGTGGGAGGTTCAACAAAATAGAATATGTGATGTGGAAAATTGAATGATTGGAGATTTTATGGATTTTATGGAAAATTTAATAAAATAATATTATAAAAAAAAGAAGAAGAACAGTTCTAGGTAAAGTACGGACCTCCGGAACGAATTAAGTACTTAACCTGAGGTACCCATGTATTGCATCTGTGTGTCTGGAGGAAAAAACCCATCCTGAGGAGAACAGATAACTATTGATTTCAAAATTATTCCTTAGAATCATTGAATTACAATGGTACCTCAGGTTACGAACTTAATTTGTTCTGGAGGTCCGTTCTTAACCTGAAACCGTTCTTAACCTGAGGCGCGCTTTCGCTAATGGGGCCTCCCGCTGCGCGATTTCTGTTCTCATCCTGGCGCAAAGTTTGTAACCCGAGGTACTACTTCTGGGTTAGCAGAGTTTGTAACCCGAAGTGTTGGTTACCCAACGTACCAATGTATAGAGCTGGAAGAGACCAAGTGGTGCATCGACAGCTAACTAATTTTATAGGTATCTTTAAAAAATAAAATAGAAAACATATGTTTACGTCTATCCCCTAATCTTCTCCTACCCCATTTGCATTGAAGAGATATCCTGACTAAACATGCCACACTAGCGCATGCTCTTTCTGGAAAACAAAGCCTTTCTTCAGTTTTTATCAAAAGCCACTTAGAGAAGCACAGCCCCTCCCCAAGCATCTCCTGCCCCTCCCCTTCCTGTCCCACAAAGGGGCGACCGCAAGTCATGGGGAAGGAGAGCCGATCACAAGTGAATGAGGCAGTTTTGTGGGTCTTATTTTCTGTTTCTCTGGGGTTCTGTGGTTCCCTCTCTGTGTGTATGTCAGACACAAGCATTATATTACCAATGATGAAATTGCTGCTTTCTCCCAGCCCAATACATTCTGTAGTACTTCCCCATTGGGTTCAATTGTTTTCATAGTTGCCCGAGTGACATTTCCCTTGTCTTATGTACCAGCATTTCAAGGAAGAGTTTGTATTTTGCCTCTTTTCTTGCACAGTGGAACCTTGGTTCCCGAACTTAATCCGTTCCGGGAGTCCATTCGACTCGTGAAACAGTTTGAGAACCAAGGCTCGGCTTCTGATTGGCTGCAGGAACTTCTTGCAACCAATCGGAAGTCAAGGCGCAGCTTCCGATTGGCTGCAGGAGCTTCCTGCAACCAATCGGAAGCCATGCCAGACGATCAGCTTCCAAAGAACGTTCGAAAACCGGAACAATCACTTCCAGTTTTCAATCATTCGGGAGCTGGAACATTTGGCTCCCAAGGCGTTCAGGAGCTGAGGTTCCACTGTATCCTAACTCCACCTTCAAGGTGCTTTAAACTATTAAGGCGAGGGTGGGGGGGAATTGGACAACCAGATATGTTGTTGCACTACAGCAGGTACAGTAATACCTCAAGTTAAGTACTTAATTCGTTCTGGAGGTCCGTACTTAACCTGAAACTGTTCTTAACCTGAAGCACCACTTTAGCTAATGGGGCCTCCTGCTGCTGCGGCTGTGTCGCAGCACAATTTCTGTTCTCATCCTGAAGCAAAGTTCTTAACCCGAGGTAATATTTCTGGGTTAGCGGAGTCTGTAACCTGAAGCATATGTAACCTGAAGTGTATGTAACCTGAGGTACCACTGTATGGGGAACCTTTGGCTCTCCAGATGTTGCTGAACTACAACCTCCATCATTCCTGGACATTGGCCATGCTGCCTGGTCTGACGGGAGCTGTAGCTCAGTAACCTATGGAGAACCACAGGTTTCCCTGTACTACAGTTTCCGAAACCCCCAATTATTCACCATGCTTGCTGGGGCTGATGGAAGTTGTAGCGCAATGAAGGGCACGACACAATTTTGGCCCTACAGTCATACCTCAGGTTACAGACGCTTCAGGTTGCGTTTTTTCAGGTTGCGGACCGCCGAAACCCGGAAGTACCAGAACGGGTTACAGTGGTGCCCCGCAAGCCGAATGCCTCACAAGACGGAAAACCCGCTAGACAAAAGGGTTTTCCGTTTTTGAGTTGCTTCGCAAGACGATTTTCCCTTTGGGCTTGCTTCGCAAGACGAAAACGTCTTGCAAGTCTTGCAATTTTTTTCCGCTCCCCCCCCCTTTTTCTAAGCCGCTAAGCCACTAATAGCCTTTTAGCAGCTAAGCCGCTAAGCCTTTAATAGCCGCTAAGCCGCTAATAGCGCTAAGGGTTGCTTCGCAAGACGAAAAAACCGCTAGACGAAGAGAATCGCGGAACGGATTCTTTTCGCCTTGCGAGGCACCACTGTACTTCTGGGTTTCGGCAGTCGTGCACGCACAGAAGCGCTAAATCACGGTTTGCACATGCACAGACGTGCCAAATCGCAACCCGCACGTGCGCAGATGCGCCGCTGCGGGTTGCAAACGTGCATCCGGCACGGATCATGTTCGCAACCCGAGCGTCCACTGTACTTCACTTCCAAACCAAGCGAACTCGAGTAGCTGAATTGCTATGCTAGGTTTAGCATATAGGGTTGCATTTTCTTATTAGGTCTGGCAAGAGTTTGGGTGACAGGCAATGCACTTTCTCATGAACAGGATGTTAGGGGAGGAGCACAGAGGGCAGCAACACCACCTTCCCCCATCAGCGGTGAGGATGACTCAGCTCCAGTTTCAGCCCAAAAGGCAGGAAACAGGGTGTGAGAGGAAAGACCCCTTAGAAGCAGCCCTTTGATAAGGCATTATCAACAACTCTTGCCTGCTTGTTCCAAGCTGAGGTTGGCAGGCAGCGTATTCTTAACGGAATTTCGGGCCGATACCCAGGCATAGTCGGCAGAAAGAGGGAGGGCAGCATGGCAACAAAGGCACACCATCGTAGTGATCTTTTTGTCGCGGTCCCGGAAAACAACTTCATAGTCGAGGATGACTCCCCGAGCTGCTTCGGGGTCTGGTGCCTGCGAAAGGGAGGTGAGCAGAGGTTCCTCCAGTCAAAAAAAGAGGTTGTAAAAGAAAACAAAGGAAAAGAAAACCCTGAAGAAGCCCACCCGGTCAAACGGATCCTGCTCACTAAGGACACAGCTGCACGGCAGTCCCTCCTCACACTCACAGCAGCCAGAGAGTCATAGATGGTGTAACTACATTTATTTAAGTAGATGGAAAGTCCTGTGCCATTAACACACTGCAAAGACAGGGCAAAAGGTCCGCAGGGTGCATCTCTTTTCAGCAAGGGAATGGGGTGATGAGAAAAGGTTGGGCTGTTGCTAAAGGGCAGGAAGCTGGCAAGGGAAAGATGGGCAAAATAAGGTTTTTTATCAACAGCAACTGCATGAAAAAGCACACAGATGTCATTCTAGTGTTTTCATAACGCCCCCCCTCCAAAAAAAAGGTAGGCGGGGGAGAGAGAAAAGAAAAATAAGTTAGGACTGGCCTTCCTCCTCACCTCCTCTCCTCTCCCCCCCCCCATTCCACAATGTAAAGGTAAAAAAGGGTAAATGACTCCTCAACGGTTAAGTCCAGTCAAAGGCGACTATGGGGTGCGGCGCTCATCTTGCTTCAGGCCCAGGGAGCCGGTGTTTGTCCACAGACAGCTTTCCGGGTCATGTGGCCAGCAGGACTAAACTGCTTCTGGCACAACGGGACAACGTGATGATCCCAGAGTGAATGGAAACACCATTTACATTCCCGCCGCAGCAGTACCTATTTATCTACTTGCACTGGCGTGCTTCCGAACTGCTAGGTTGGCAGGAGCTGGGACAGAGCAACAGGAGCTCACTCCGACGCGGGGATTCGAACTGCCAACCTTCTGATCGGCAAGCCCAAGGGGTTCAGTGGTTTAGACTCAATGTACAGGCTTCTGGACAATGGTGGGGTCACTAGCAAGGTTGCCATTTGAGAAGCTGCCTCCAGCCTCTGCTGCAGGAGGCTTTGAGAAAGGCTGCTCGGCTGTTAGAAGCAGATGGACAATTGCAGAAAGACTGGCAAGGCTTGATGTTTCGCCCATGTCCCAGAGCAGTAGCCCTTGTAGGGAAGGAAGCTCTGGAAGAAATTCATAAACCTTAGAAAGCTTGCCAAGTAGGTCCAGAGACTGTGGCTCCATTGTGGCTGGACTCTGGGGGGTTAAGCCTGAAGGTGACCAGGGTGTGGGGATGGCAGAATGGCCAATACAGAAAGCAGCGGGCAATGAGCTCACTGGCATGCTGGAAAGCAAACCTGGCTTTGGCTCTCATCCCTAGCCTTGGCAAGGTTCGTGGTGGCATGAAAGCACCCCAGACAGATCCCACTTGTAGTATGTATTGCTGAACTGCTTTCCTAAAACTAACACTGTGTAATCTTATGCATTCTTTTTTGGGATTAAAACCCACTGAACTCAGCATCACATTGAACATTTTTTGGGAAGCTGCACATCAGGATGTGAGCCAGTGACTCATAGTTTCACTACTGCACCATTATTTTCTATGTTTTATCAGACAGAATCCTACGCTATGGTTACCGGATTTTTTTCAATGAATCCGGGGACACTTTTTTTGGGGGGGGGTGAGGCAAAAGACCCTGGGCCCAAGCACACATGAATATTGTATAAAGATGCAAAGCCATTCTTTTGCACCCTGTAAAACGGTAAATGCACAGTTTTTAAAAAACTGGGCAATGGCCGCTCACCCGCAATTCCCGAGCCTCCCCTGATCAGTAAAAACAAAGGGGGCAGGAGATCACACAAGACACATCCTATGCGCACAAGACACATTGTATGGGGACTTCTGGCGAGGAAAAATGTTGGGCGCCACGGCAGCGAGCAGCTCCTGAAGCCAGACAGAACCAACTGCGCTACCAGGCTGGCTCTGGGCTGCTGAGGCTGCCGTTGCCACATTTCCCAGGACAGATTTGCAAATCTGGGGACATTCCGGGGACGGAATTTGTCCGGGGACAGATATTTGCAAATCTCGGGACTGTCCCCAGGAACCGGGGACATCTGGTAACCCTATCCTGCACAGTATTTTTCCTGTTGTTGTTTTTTTATAGGCCGTGAGTGCACCACAGACATTTATGGGACATCAATTTACAGATGGCAATCGGCAAACTTGGCAAAAGTATGCATTCTTCTTATAGAATCATAGAACTGTAGAGTTGGAAGGGATCCCCCAAAGGATATCTAGTGCAACCCCCTGCAATGCAGGAAACTAAACACAGAATCATAGAATTGTAGAGTTTAGCCTGATGCAGGCCAAATGCGTGCGTGGTTATGGGGAGGTCAGATCTAAAGCAAACCTGATTAGAATTTGCTTTCTAGGCCTGCAAGCACAAAGCTCCCTTAAAAAAAATGAGAGAAAATTTATTTGTACCCCGCCCATCTGGCTGGGCCTCCCCAGCCACTCTGGGCAGCTTCCAACAAAGATTAAAAATACATTAAAATGTCCCACATTAAAAACTTCCCTGAACAGGGCTGCCTTCAGATGTCTTCTAAATGTCAGGTAGTTGTTTATCTCTTTGACATCTGATGGGAGGGCATTCCACAGGGCAGGCGCCACTACCAAAAAGGCCCTCTGCCTGGTTCCCTGTAACTTTGCTTCTCGCAGTGAGGGAAGTGCCAGAAGGTTCCCCTAAAGCAGCTCACAGCCGTAATTAAAAAACAGTGCACCATTCCTAAGAGGAAGTGATCATGATTTGCTAACATCCCTGTTATCTGACAGCAGAGTAACTTCATTTTGCTGCAAGGCTCAGCATATTTGCTAGCAGTCTGTGGTCTGTGTAGCGCCATCAGTTCCCAGAAGCTATTATGACCAAAGGCTGAGCACAGAGAGCCATTACAGCTCAGGGGAGATGTTAATTCAGTTAAACTAAATAAACTTCAGGTTTCCCACCCAGCCAATAGCAGGGAGTGTATGTCTGCTCATTTGCCAAAAGGCTCTGTGTATTGTACGCTCCAAGGCTCCTCAAATCCTGTGAAAATTCTTTAAAATTCAATTTTCATTCATCCCTTGTGTATGTACAGTAAAAAGGAGACCAGCAAGGTTCACTTTACCTTCCACAGCAGGAAGCGACTTGGAACACCTTTCTCAGAAACACCAACTTTTTGCCACACGTCTACCTGACCCAGGGGAGCTAAAGGCAACAGAGATGCAACAGGTGGTTAGTGAGAGCTAACAGAGCAGCTGGACAATCACAGGTGCTTTCCTCAAAGAATAAGTCCAAGAAACAAATGAATAAGGCACCATGCACAACTGACTTTTTCCAAGCAGACAGAAACAAAATGCACAATGGTGATTTAGTAATGATCAGGTTTATACTCCAATTTTGCTGCTTGGAACCAGTTCCCCCAAAGATGAACAGAATCTTGAATCCCAAAAATACCTGCCTAAGGAGTTGGTGGGCTCTGAATCTATTTAAGCAAATGCTGGGCAGCCCCTTTGTCACAGGTTCTGCGGCTGCATCCTGTGCTGTGAAACTTGCATTGAAATGGGGTCATCAGGGAGGGTGGATCAGAAGACCTCGAAGATGCCTTCTAACTTTGGAATTCTACGATTCAGTACCCCAACCCCAACCATTCCACATAAGGGCAGAGAGTACAAGGTTAATTCCTTATACAATGGCCTCTCCCCACATTTACATATATATTTTTCAGTTGTACACCTACATTTTCAAGTGTACATCTCACATTTTTGTGAGTGACAGGAGTGTGAAATAAGTGTATCAGCCAAGCTCCTGCTGTGATGTCAGCACATCCGTCTCTAAAGACAGAATGTTTCCTCCAGGAAAAGAGGAGAAGGGAAGGGGACCATAATGGGAGCACATTGACATCAGACTGCTAGGAAGAAACTGAAGTCCAACATGACATGAAATTCTGGTACTGAACTGCTACTGAACTGAAGGGAAAAGGTAATGGTAAAGGACCCCTGGACGGTTGAGTCCAGTCAAAGGAGACTATAGGGTTATGGCACGCATCTCGCTATCAGGCAAGCTGGCGTTTGTCCATAGACAGCTTTCCGGGTCATGTGGCCAGCATGACAAAACCGCTTCTGGTGCAAGTGAACATCGTGGTGGAAACCAGAGCACACGGCAATGCCGTTTACCTTCCCGCCACAGTGGTACCTATTAATCTACTTGAACTGGGATGCTTTTGAACTGCTAGGTTGGCAGGAGCTGGGACAGAGCAACAGGAGCTCACCCCATTGTGGGGATTCAAACTGCCGACTTTAAAATCAGCAAGCCCAAGAGGCTCCATGGTTTAGACCACAGTGCCACCTGTGTCGCTTCCAGGGCTGTACCTACCTGCCTCCGGGGTTACGAAGGTCTGGGATGAACTCCATTCACTCCAGAAGCCTTTCTTCATTTCTGGAATGCATTGTACCTGCACCTCGTAGGAAGTGAAAGGCTTCAGGTCCTCCAGGTCATACCCTTCCTGGTCTACATGCTCCTCACTCAGCTGGGAAAGAACATTATCGTCATCATTATTATTACTCTTATTATTCATTGTAGTAATAGAAGTAGAAGTTATATTCCTCTTTTAAAGTAAGAATCTATAGAAAACATCTCACAAATCAGGTAAAACAACCCCCAACCCCATTTTCTCCTGTTATTGTTGCTGTGCTGATACACTTACCTTCAAATAAATAAAAACAAAACAAAACAAAACAAAACAAAAATCATCAACATAAACAGTCATCAGAATAGCAGGAAGTTTAGCGGGGAGTAGATGCAGGAGAGCATGGGGAGTGAGGTGTTAGGAGACCATATTCCCTCCTATGAATCTGTCCTGGTTCTGAGATCTTCGGGGAACACCTTGTCTCTGTCCCACCACCATCTCAGATACACTTCGTGGAGACACGGGACAGGGCCTTCTTGGTGCTGGCTGTGCCAGACAATTGTGGAACTCCCTCCCTAGAGAAGCCAGACTGCCTTCTTCCTTGTTGTCTTTCTACCGCTTAGTGAAGACTTTATTGTTCCAACAGGCTTTTGAAAACTACCGTATTTTTTGCACCATAACACTCACTTTTTTCCTCCTAGAAAGTAAGGGGAAATATCTGTGCGTGTTATGGAGGGAATGCCTACGGGTGGCGGGGGGGATCTGCTGCAGTCATGAGCAAAAGATCCATGGTTCCCCTTCCTTCCCTCCTCTGTGGCTCACTTTGAAACAGCAAAGTGGGAGAAGAGCCGCTGAGTGGGGAGGAGAGAGGGACAGAGAGCCTGCTTCTTTAAAGGAACAAAGCGGGAGAGGAGAGGAGCTGCTTACATGAGTGTAAAGCACGGATCCACATGAATCCTCAGGATTTTTGCACTGGGTCACCCCAAATTCACCATCAGATCACATAGCATGTCCATGGCTACATCTTACACCAAAAAAATCACGCACCCACTGTTGCCTTGGGCCGCAGTGGTGCAAAAACGTGGTTACAAAGCATGGATCCACATGGATCCTCAGGATTTTTGCATTGGGCTACTCCAAACTCACTGTCACATCACATGTCTGTGGCCACAGCATGAACCACAAAAATCATACATCCACTGTTTCATTTAGAATATTTTTTTCTTGTTTTCCTCCTCTAAAAACTATGTGTGTGTTATGGTCGGGTGTGTGTTATAGAGCGAAAAATACGGTAATTGCTTTTAATGAAAGGGCTAGGGCCATGCTATTTCTACAGCAATTAATTGTATGGTTCTAATAGATAGGTTCCGTGTGCTGCGCTGGCTCGCCAGATGCAGCTTGTCACGCTGGCCACGTGACCCGGAAGTGTCTGCGGACAGCGCTGGCTCCCGCCTATAGAGTGAGATGAGCGCACAACCCTAGAGTCTGGCAAGACTGGCCAGAAAGGGCAGGGGTACCTTTACCTTAATAGATAGGTAGGGATGCAGATGGCGCTGTGGGTTAAACCACAGAGCCTAGGGCTTGCCGATCAGAAAGTTGGCGGTTCGAATCCCTGTGACGGGGTGAGCTCCTGTTGTTCAGTCGTTGCTCCTGCCAACCTAGCAGTTCGAAAGCACATCAAAGTGCAAGTAGATAAATAGGTACCGCTCCGGCGGGAAGGTAAACAGCCTTTCCGTGCGCTGCTGTGGTTCACCAGAAGTGGCTTAGTCATGCTGGCCACATGACCCAGAAGCTGTACACCGGCTCCCTCAGCCAATAAAGCGAGATGAGCGCAGCAACCCAGAGTCGGCCACGACTGGACCTAATGGTCAGGGGTCCCTTTACCTTTATTTTACAGGCTTCTGGACAATGGTGGTCCCTTTACCTTTACCTAATCGATAGGTAAATCAATAAATTTTAATTCTATCAATGTTTAATTGGTTTTTAATGTGTTTTTTCTGTTCTTATCTGATCTTATTTTTATTTGTAAGCCATCTTGAGCCCCTCTTAGGGGTAAAGGTGGGGTATAAAGAAGAAGAAGAAGAAGAAGAAGAAGAAGAAGAAGAAGAAGAAGAAGAAGAAGAAGAAGAAAGGAAGTTATTTTTTATCACTGAGAGGGAAAGCAGTGCCAAACAATTGGAGCTGAGACTCCTGGGTTCTGTTCCAGTTTGGGAAGCTGATTAAGTTCCACTGAGGTCTCTGTTTGCGCTTTCTTCTCAAATCATTTCAAGGCGCACCCACAGAGAGTATGCTTGGTCTCCCAGGTTTGTTGCTGTGATGTGCCAAACGGCCATAATTATCTCAGACTCCTTAGGTTGCAGTTTTCCCAGAATACAAGCTGGATAACAGGTGATGGGATGGGGAAACAGACCCATGCATCCAGACATAACAGACTCACGTAGGTCCAGCTATGGTCCTTGGACATCTTGTATCGAAGGGCACAGGTGAGGCGGCTGGTGATGAAGGGATTCAGACCAGTGAGGGTTCTTCCAACTGACCATCGCGACAGAGGACTCAAACACCACAGGCTCCAGATCAGGAGGAGGCGGCTTCACTGAAAGAAGCAATGCAGAGAAAGGCCTCAGGCACAAGAAGCCTTGTTGCTTACCCTTCACTCCCACTTCCCACTCTCCACTCTAAGCATCAGGAATGGAGCCATAACAATGCTATAACAACAAACTCTAAACAAAACCCAGGAAACAAATGCTGAAGAGTAAGGTCAAGGTTCAGCATGTCCACAGAGCAGGTGGCCTGCAATTCCACATCACAACTTCCACTGTTTTTATTACTAAAGTTACTGGTTTCTTATGAACCGGAAGGAAGCAGTCTAGTGTTTTTCTCAGAAGTCAGGGAGAGATTAGGTGGACTTCTGCAGTCAGCGCAGTGACTTTTCAAGGGGTTCTAAATTCTTTCAGAATCCAAATATTGAGAGGCCAAAACCAACAAAAAAAAATGCAACATGAGATAGCGCATTTGATTCACTTTCACAATTTACACATTTTTGAAAGGCACACACAGGACTGAATGCAGTGAAGAGGTGAGTGTTGCAGAACTAGAGATAACTTGGATGGGCTGGAAGCTGCTTTAAGTAAATTTAACAGGACCCACTGAAAGCCCCAGCCACATAATTTCAAGTGTCAAAGTCTTTAGGGATGTAAGTGGCCATTTTTTATTGAACAATAGAAAAGCTGAGGTGTCTGGAATTTCACAGCTCGTGACATCACTGTGGAACCTGTAGGCGTGATCCTCTGCCGCAGCATGACACCCACTATTCAAGCTGTCCTGTACCACACAGATGCAAAATCAGCTCCAGATGTGAGATGGCCCTTGGCAGAGTGCCCTCTGGCAGCCCAGCCTCCCACATCACTGGTCCCTCATCCACAAGCTTTCATGGTGGTGGAAGTGGGTGGCATCCCGAATTTCCCACAATACCCCACAGTGATGCTACATCAGGTTAGGTCTTTAGGCATTGTGGAAATTCCAAAGTGGTGACTCACAGGCCCAGCTGTTTAATTCTGGGGATGAAAGCCAGCATTGCCACTAGCTCCCCTGTTGGGGTCTCAGCAACTGCCAAGAGTTACCTGATGCTGACACTGAACCTGAACAGATACACAAAAGTGAGCAAGCACACTGGTACTATTTTTAGCACTGAGCCTCTTGGGCTAGCCGATCAGAAGGTTGGCGGTTCAAATCCCCATGATGGGGTGAGCTCCCGTTGCTCTGTCCCAGCTCCTGCCAACCTAGAAGTTCGAAAGCACACCAGTGCAAGTAGATGAATAGGTATCTCTGCGGCGGGAAGGTAAATGGTGTTTCCGTGCACTCTGGTTTCTGGCGTGGTGTTCCGTTGCGCCAGAAGCGTTTTAGTCATGCTAACCCAGAAAGCGGTCTGTGGACAAACGCCGGCTCCCTCGGCCTGAAAGCGAGATGAGCGCCGCAACCCAGAGTCGCCTTTGACTGGACTTAACTGTCCAGGGATCCTTTGCCTTTTTACCTTACTATTTTTAGTAATATTTTTTATCCTCATCTGCAAGTTTATCTAGACCCTTCCCCAAAGCACTCTGTGCCTATTTTCTCTCACCTATTTCATCCAAGCTGAAGTTTAACTTAGCGGAAGTTGCAATCCCAGCCATGCCGTAATTGGTTTCCACCCAAACACTGTAGCTGTCTCCCTGTGTCAGGTTGCGCCTTTCAATAAGCAACCAGTTCTGCTTGCCCGGAGCTCCACGCCTGGGGGGTTTGCCAGGATGACTAGAGAAAGAGGCAGAAAGAGAAAAGGCAATTCCGGCATGAATCAAAAGTGAGTATTTGCCACTCCTTAGTTATACAAATTCCTGCCAACCTAGCAGTTCGAAAGCACGTCAAAGTGCAAGTAGATAAATAGGTACCGCTCCGGCGGGAAGGTAAACGGCATTTCCGTTCGCCAGAAGCGGCTTAGTCATGCTGGCCGCATGACCCGGAAGCTGTACGCCGGCTCCCTCAGCCAATAAAACGAGATGAGCGCCACAACTCCAGAGTCGGTCACGACTGGACCTAATGGTTATACAAATATATTGCCCAGGACTTACCATTCCTTGCAAAACCTTGCCACAAAAATCCTGCAAATGCTCCATTTCCAATTCAGAACAAAGAGTTATGTAAAGTGGGTAATTTGCTTTGTTCTGAGTGTGGAATTTGTAAATTTGGTCTCCCAAGACTATGCATTTTCATACACATGCCTCTGTGTTGGCTACAGAAATAATAATAATAATAATACATATGTGATATAGAAATAAATAAATATACAGTACTGCCACAAATTTTAGAGAACGGTTGCTTTCTGGAATGATTAGGAATGCCTACTAAAAAAAACCCAATGCTAATTCATCTACAAAGAACAGTACATATTCAACTTATTTTTTAAAAAGGTAAGCAACAGGCAAATGTGGATGGTTTGTGAAAAATAATCAAGAATTTGGAGATGTAAGTAGGAAGTAGCGATTGCCCCATGCAAAGACACAGAGAAAGGTCATAATGAATACTGGGCAACAGAAGCTTAATTCCTGACTAGCCTGGAAGTGGTCTATATGCAGAGGTTGTTAAAGTCAACCTGAACACTTTCCCTCCGAGTAATAGAGTATCTGAGGAATTATGAGGTATAATTATGAGGTACTACTATTGTCTCCATACTGCAGATTGGATACTGCTCTTTGGATTCTGGCTTGCTAAGGGTACCTGGTAAGTTCAAGCAGATGTGAGATTTTTGGCAGGGGACTTTCCAACTCAACAGTGACGCCAGCCAATAGAGTGATGTGTGAGGAGACAGGTTAGTTTAAAAACAAGGTCTGTGGGCTCATGATGAGTCTGGACTTATTTGCAAAGCTGTCTGAAGCATAATGGCAGACAACTCCTGTGCAGGCAGGTAACTTCCAGAGTCAGAAACTCCCTGGAAGGTTCTGTCAATCAAATGCAGTGACTTCTTTTGCTGACAAGACCTTGGTAGAAACCCTTTTGCCTCCCTGAAAAAATGCTGAAATGGCATTTGAGACCACGCGGCAACAATAGAGTGAGGAAGTTGCAGCGCATTGTGAGGACTGCCACCCAAGCGCACCGATGTGCACACACACACACACACAACTTCCTAAGGCCGACAAAGCAAATTCTTCCTGACATTTTGCAAGTTTTGCCTCTTTCATGCCAAAATCCACAGGCTCTCTGCGGTTGGATCATCACAGGGAAACACACGTAATGCCTTGCTTACTATTTTCAGGCTCTTATAGTAGAGACATGGGTAGTATTAGCATCTGGAGGCTCCCTGGTAGACCAACTGCAAGTTCAACAATATTGCTGGGCACTGACTGGTAACATTTCAGGTCTGTGGGGACATCAGGGTCACCTGCAAATAGAGACATATTCCAAAATCAGCACTCAAGCCACAGAAACACAGCCATTTATCTTGCACTATTAAAATTCAAGGGAAGTGGTTCCTAGTTGTCCAGACAGAATTAGCCACCCTTCTCTCACTATTTGTTTGTTTGTTACATTTCTATCCTGTCCTTCCCCCAAAGGAGCTGAGCGCAGCAAACAACAAGTGACAGAGCAATAAAAACATCAGTGAAACATCTCCAATATACAGTGGAACCTCAGTTTTCGAGCATCTCAGAAGCTGAACGTTTCGGGAAGCTGAAGCGCCGAAAGGCCCGGAAGTAATTGCTTCCGTCTTCGAACGCACCTTGGAAGTCAAACAGCTTCCGCTGTGTGTTTTTCAATTTTCCTCAATGGATTTGCCGATCCGCCCATTGCTCCTCGGTTTTCTAAGGTTCGGAAGTCGAAAACCGAGGTTACACTGCTATAAGCTAATCACCAAATGGCACCTTAAACCTAGACAGCTGTCACCACAATGGAATTTCTAGGTGCCCACCCCCCCCCCCCGGTTGGTGGTATTATTATTATTGTTGTTGTTTGTTTATTGTTATTATACTGATTTATATTTTAGAAAACAAATCTCAAAGAGGGTTTACAACATCCCCCACCAAAGAAATCCAGAATAAAACAAGGGGGCTTTTCTGCAGTGGCTCCCCGTTTGTGGGATGCTCTCCCCAGGGAGGTTTGCCTGGCACCTTCATTGCTTATATTTAGGGGCCAGGCAAAAACATCCCTCTTCTCCCAGACCTGTGGCTAATTAAACAATCTATGGCATTTTGAACGGGGGGGGGAGGTATTGTTTTTGTATGTTACTATGTTATGGAACCAGGTAGAGGGCCTTCGCAGTGGTGGAACCCTCCCTGTAGAACGCCCTCTCATCAGATGTTAAGGAAATGAACCATTACAGTGGACGCTCGGGTTGCGAACGTGATCTGTGTGGGATGCACGTTCACAACTCACAGCGTTCGCAACCCGCAGCACAGTGCCACATATACGCATGCGCGGGTTGCGATTTTGCACTTCTGCGCATGTGCAAAGCGCGATTTTAGCGCTTCTGCACATGCGTGACCACGCGAAACCCAGAAGTAACCCGTTCCGGTACTTCCAGGTTTCGCCGTGTCCATAACCCAAAAAAATGCAACTTGAAGCATCTGTAACCCGAGTATGACTGTACAGTGGTACCTCGGGTTACATACACTTCAGGTTACATATGCTTCAGGTTAAGACTCCCTAACCAGATAGTACCTCAGGTTAAGAACTTTGCTTCAGGATGAGAACAGAAATTGTGCTTCGGCGGCGCAGCAGCAGGAGGCCCCATTAGCTAAAGTGGTGCTTCAGGTTAAGAACGGACCTCCAGAACTAATTAAGTAATTAACCCCAGGTACCACTGTAACTGGTTTGGTGCTGCAATTTCCTCTTTACCAAAATGGATTTTATCTTGAACAATTGCAGACACAGTAATAAAGAGTCCACTTGTCATATAAAAAGGTAAAGGTAAAGGACCCCTGGACAGTCAAAGGCGACTATGGGGTGTGGCACTCATCTTGTTTTCAGGCCAAAGGAGCTGGCATTTGCCCACAGTTTTCCGGGTCATGTGGCCAGCATGACTAAACTGCTTCTGGTGCAACGGGACACCGTGACAGAAGCCAGAGCGCACAAACACGCTGTTTACCATCTTGTCACAGCGGTACTTATTTATCTACTTGCGTTGGTTTGCTTTCGAACTGCTAGGTTGGCAGGAGCTGGGACAGAGCAACAGGAGCTCACCCTTTCGTGGGGATTCGAACCAAACCTTCTGATTGGCAAGCCCAAGAGGCTCAGAGGTTTAGACCACAGTGCCACCCACAGCCCTACTTGTGATATACCAGTGGTTAAGTGCTCGGGTGTCATTCCGGTAATCCAACATTTTGTCACTAAGGAGCTTAGTCATCAAGCTTTATAGTAAATAATGTGCAAGAGAAGACAGTATGTAAACAACTCAAAGCAGGAGCATATCTGCCCCCATCTGCATGTTTCCATCAGGAGGAGCATAGAAAGAGGACGATGTCCCTTAGTTTGTTAAACCTCCTTCCCCTGACTAATGTCCAGCTATGTGTCTCATCATGCCATCTGTGCTCCCTGCCCTGGAGGGCTTTCGTCTGGACAGGGCGCACCCCCAAACCCCATGACAATGCCTCTTGAACGCCTGAATCGACATCCCTTGTCCTAGAGAAATGTGGTCACAGAACAGGGCCAGCTCACCCACACTGCAGGGTGAAGCAGCTGCCTCAGGTGGCTGAAGCCCCCAGAGGCAGCACCCACATGAGGTCGGGACCTGCGTTCGGCCGAGCGACTCCTCCGACGTGATTAACGACCTGAGCCTTTGATAAGGCTCCAAGCATGTTCCCATTACACAGAGTTTCAAAGCAGCAGAAGTGACGAGATTTATGAGCTACATGCTAAGAGTTTTATTACTAAGCTACGCAGACAGAAAAGAAATACCATATTTTTCGCTCTATAAGATGCACCAGACCATAAGACGCACCTAGTTTTTGGAGGAGGAAAACAAGAAAAAAAATATTCTGAATCTCAGAAGCCAGAACAGCAAGAGGGATCGCTGCACAGTGAAAGCAGCAATCCCTCTTGCTGTTCTGGCTTCCGGGATACTGCACAGCCTGCATTCGCTCCATAAGACGCACACACATTTCCCTTACTTTTTAGGAGGGAAAAAGTGAGTCTTATAGAGCAAAAAATATGGTACATTCTCTCTGTGAAAGCAGAGAGCAACTGCAACAACAAAGGAGCAGGAAACAGTAACATCACATCCGTCGTCTTCGTGAGACTTCCAACAGTCTGGAATGTCTCTGGAATGTAAAACAGAGTCCTGTGACTCCAAGCAACTGCACAGTGGCAACAAACAGAAACCAACATCCTCCCCTTTCTGTGAACACCACTGGCAGTGTGTTAGTACAATCTCAGTACAAACCCAGTTTCTGTACATAGGTGCAGTGTTGATCCTTCGGAACAACCTTGGGCAATAAATCAGCAGGAATTTCATTACCTGGCATGTAGGACACTGTTACGAGTCCTTTTTGAACACATTCCCTAGCATGTTGCAGCTTCAGTTGCAAGTGCTTTATGCTTTGCTGACTTCCACTGCAGGTGGAGAAGCATTGGTGCCAATTTCCGGCTAGAGATCTCGCCAAGATCTCACAGAGAGTGAGAGATCTCGTGAGGCTTCAGCAAGGTCTCGTGAGAGCTTGCCCTAAGTTAGCAGAGGGGGCAGCGGTGGGTGGCAGTGCCAGCCGAGGTGAATGGTGGGGTGGCAGGGATGGGGTGATCAGTGCTGCAGAGAGGGGCGGAACTTTCCAT